CTGTATCAACACAAAGACTATGTCTGAGTACAGGGCAGGAAGGTTTGTTGCTCTCCGTGAATTGTCCATTACGCAGGCCAAGAAGGAGATTGTGTTATTCAACGGCAAAGATCGATCACCAGAGGATATGAAGAATGACCTCTTGCTAAACAGCTCCCAAGAAATTCAAACACGAATTCTCTTCTCACTCCAGGAAGTTCTTGCTGCAATCATGCCCCAAGTACGGGAAGAGATGTGCCAATTTTCTCAGGGCAAAATTTATCCTGATGTGGCGCCTGCACTGTTTGCTGACACAATCTCTTTGCACATATGCAAAGTTTTCTTCGACCAGTGGTACACTGCTTTTCTAGGTGCTGGTGGCATAATTGAATTATGGATTGATGTAGCTGTAGTCGGCTGCTTCAAAGGGCCGACCGTACTGGACAAGACTGAACTTTATCTCAACGAATGGAGGAATGATCTAGAATCTTTCGAGAAATTCTACGACGACAAAGTCGAAGAGATCTTAAATACACCTGTTGGCATCGTGCGACAATATCTGCTACTTCAATTGGAGCCAGTACGCGAGCAACTAGTAACGCACAAACGCAAGTTAGTAGCCGCAGAGTTGCGCAGATCTATGGCCAAACAAGCTGCGAAGGATAAGGCATGGCCAGAGAGCGTATTGGAGGAGAAGGAAACGAAGCTTTTCAATGCCGTAGTAGCTAGTCAGACACAGTAGGCTGTACATCCTATCACCAGGATCGACTGCCGTGTCGGGTCAAATGAGCTGCAGGGAATGATGGCAGCTGATTTATCAACAGGCACTGCTTTTACAGACCGGGCAAAATGATTCAACGTTTTTAGGTATTTTGATATAACTTCACTTATTTACATGTCAGTATCTGAATGGCTATATAAGATGGACGACTCAAGCCCAGGGTTTTAAACGAATAAATAAGAGTCTCCTCTGTTACTTACTTGGCATCTGATATTTGAATATCTCCTTTGAGTCTATCAAGTCGTGCGAAATGAATAATCTTCTTACGAATCTGTCATGACGGTTTGTACGAAGTCTCCCCCTAAACCAGTCAGCTTGCAAACAACCTCCGAAAGAATCATATGATAAAGCTCCAATGATATGTGAACGATGACGCTTTAACATATGACACAAAGAAATAATTCTCATATTACTCAACACTTGACACCAAGAAGTGATTCCAACTTACCAACTATCCTTGATTTCAGTCGAAGTACTGTTGGCCCGAATCCCAGTAGTGACTTCACCATTCAAGCAAACCACCACAACTCAAACCCCAAACGACTACTCGCTCTGTTCATTGTCAACAATAAACGCCTGGTTGCACAACACAGTTCCAGGCTGTTATGCAAAAATCTAAGAGATTACTCCTATAAAGGAAAAGCTCAAATATTAGCGTTCATGTAGATGGCGCATGTATGGTACTCTACCCAATCTCTGACCCTGCATTGATCCAGCTAACAAGGATATCCTTCATTGTTTTCTCAGTAGTGATATGCGTACATTCATCTGTAGATCGTGAGGTCCCTTTGTCTATTTTGTTTTATGCGCTCACTTGACCTCTCCATAGGTGACATTGGTGAGAAGGCTTTTGAGTCTGTGGTGGCGGGAAGGTTTGTAAAGTGTACCCCCACGCAGTTGGAATGACGATGATCATGGGTCAACGTGGTTTCGCAGGAAACATGTTTTCTAGCTGAAAATTGTTGGATGAGCCTTTTTGAGGCGGATACTGTGATGTGTTATGATAAACATCAGGCAATCTGAGCAGATGTTATCACGTCGCGATGTTGAATGGGCCGACACTCACAGGTGACTAACCCCACGTAATGTCGTCCAGTCAACTCAACTGTCTCCTAGATGCAAGATCAGAAATGGAATCATGTCATCGCATCAATCTCACAAAAGTGCGATATATGACGAACAGAAGTTTGTATACGTTTTCATTAATAATCCTCCTACAAATCATGCTGCCCCGCAGATGAGATGCAGCCAGACACACAAACACATCTCCCGAGATCTCCGAGCCCATCCCCTCGTGATCAAACGCCAATAGAAGTATTCCCATCCAAAAGTGCCACCCAGATAGACCATCCGTAAACAGTTCCTCAACACATCAAACTCCATCACCCAAACGTGCTATGTCGCTAAAACTCCATGTTGATGTCCAGACCGGCTGATTGAAAGAGCATGCCAGATTCTTAGTTGTTGCGCGCTCTGAGGAGGAAGAGGCGGCGCTCTTCGTCGGTGACGTTTGGTTGGACATTGCCTGCTGGTCTGGAGACAGCGGCGGTCAGAGGGAGGAATCCGGTAGAGGTGGAGGAGATGGAGGAGGCATCATCACGTGGAGTGTGAGTGAGTTCGAGCCATCCGTCGCTGCTGTAGCCGGAGGTGACTGAGGAAGTGGTGGAGGAGCGGTCTGTTGATGAATTAGTATGTAATAGTAGAATGAAATTGATATGTGAAAAATTACTCAATCTTGGGGCTTGGAATTCTTGCTGGGAAGACATTTTGATCGGTAGTTTTTTGAGTGGAAGATTTTTGGAAGGATTGATAGGTAATTGACTTTTGATAGTGCTGATTGTTGATTGTGCTGGAGTGATGATGAGAAGAATGAAGAGTGGAAGGGTTCCTCTGAATCTATTTATCCCCAAAGGATGCGCATCTGCAGTTGCAGTCACTGCATCTCGTTGTGGACAACCCCCACCCACCAAACCACCCACACGTTCACAAACTCTTGGTGTTGAGTGACCTGCTACAGCGCCACCTCAGTGCGCCCGCAAAAGATTAACATGCACGCCCGGCCAAGAGTAATCGACACAGTGCAGCCTACGCGTCAACCCGCACCCCGCCTCCAATTGTTACCAGAACTTGGACGCTTTCGACACATTTTGATACTGCGATCTAGCAGATCCCTTCTCAGCCAAGAAGCCAAGTAGATGCGGAAACTTCGGTCCATATGCCGAGTCACGGCAGTCAAGGCGACTAAAACCTCTCTGGCAGAAGATCTTGTTTGAGCCAAGAGAACGTGCGTGAATCCCGCTCATCTCGTTGGCGAAACTAGATGCTTGCAACAGAAAAGATCAAGATGGCAAAGATCGTTTGTGATATGTCGTTGACTTGAAGACTGTACCGCAGCAACATGCGGACTACTGTACTACCAAAGGTCGGTGAGTAAGGTCGATCCCTTTTAGAGGCTAGCTAGGGAGGAGTTCCTTCTTTATTGGAAGCTTGCAGCGGGAATCATGCACCTTGTCAGATGACATTGTATTTCGAAGCATCTCCTACTTCCGTGATTGGCGTGCAAAAAATAACTGGATTTTGACGAGCTGCTGAATTGCAGCTTCGTTCGAGGTTGGTCGCTCTGATGGGGATGGGGGGTGCTTGATGCAGCTGCAGGGCCACGGCCTAGTTCATCCATCGCACAGACATTAAGCTAAGACCTCCACATTGTCATTAGTATAGGCAGTTATTGGCGGCCTCCGTCGCGATGATGGATCCAGCGGTTTCATTTCAGCTCTTTGATTTGTTCCAGAAGGTTGACTAGAAAGAACAGTATGCAAGTGGCAGTAAACTTCCACTTTGTGTGTCCCTTTCAGTGGACGATTTCAAGGAAATTTGTAGGCGACATAAGCCATGCATCGGGTTATTGTACCAAATATGCACAACACTAGGTATAAACTTGTTGTACGTGATGCAATACAGTAACGATGAAGTTATTGTAGTCCTCGCTTAGCGACGGGAAGGGGGGAGATCTACTCGTAGGTGCGCTTCTGAGGTGGTATATGTGGGGTGACCGGACAATTGACTTTGTGCTATGCTTGGTAATTGCTTGGAATGTTTAGCCAAGAGATGATAGTGACAATCGGGTAGTGCTCGAACGTCGACTCGTGGCAGCGACACCTGAAAAGTTTCAATATTCCATGGCGTGGCAGTTGACAATTAAAACGGGGTCCATTTTGGAGTCTTGGAAGGATATATTTCGAATCTAGACCAAGCGACACAAAATCATAAGCCCACAGTGGGTTTGAGGAAGCAAGCGCGTTTGTCTTGCAGAAAAGATCCACAAAGTCCGCCGATTAGAGGAAAAGGCAGATGTTGAGACTCGAGTTGTCCTGAATCAACACTTGAGTTGGTGTTCTTCAAAAGTTCAATCAAGGTGACCTAACCTTCTTCTGTGCTTCGGGATTGTCTGATTTGTATCACCTGCTGGTGGTAATAAGACATACGAATAACACGTCTTTCTTGGCAGAAAAACATGGGTACCGTCTTCGCGGTATTCGACGTGGTTCTATGATGATGTCCGGGCTTGCTCGCAGTTCTGTATATCATAGCATCATATCTTCATCAGCGGTTGATGCAACGCCAGATCTCTAGTCCATCGCACTACACTGCTTTCTTTCGCATTAGAAAAAGCGTGAGAATTCCCCATTGTCTCAGAGCCGCTTGCAACTGTCCTTGACCCCGAGATTTTGAGGTTTTGATTACAGTCGTGCCAATTGTGTCGATGGTCACGATCTAATCATCTCGGCCGCGTAGCTCTTACTCGGACCGAAATTCAAGTTGGAAAATGTTCGGAACGCACCATTCGCAGATTCTGGTAATTATTGCCCTCGGTTTCGACGTCGAGCTAATTCCGCAACGTAATCGACGCCGCATTTTATGAGTAGCCAAGGCAACCCCAGAATGCACTTGAGAATGGTAATATCAGGTTCCCTAACAAATCGATGCTCAATGAATGCCGGGCCACCACCAGAGACGTATACATCAGCGATAAGTTCTTCTTCCGCATGGGATCTTCGCACCATCGTGTACGAAACGCCTGGTCTCTCGACCGCCATTTCTGGCCAAGCTTGTCTCTCCGGGACATGAGGCAGCTCTAAAACGAAGACACCATCCACTGTGATATTTGCTAGCGGACTAAGAAGGGCTTCTTCCATAATCTTGGAAGGTGAATAAGACAACCATATCTTCAACTCTGTTAACCCTTGCATGCATTCGAGAACGGAACAAATTTCGCCCCAATTGTCTTCGAGCGTAGAAGACTTCTCGGTGAGCTTAAAGGTTTTCTTGGAAGGCTGTATTCTAGATGAGCGTAATGGCCAGACAACCACCCAGTTTAGATTCAACCTCTTCAGCATGTTGAGCATACTTTTTGGGGTGCGTGTCAAGAAAAGGTATGCCGTTCCAAAATTAAGAATGTTAAAGGTGAAATATGAATGCGCCAATTCCACAGAGATTGCGTATCTGATCCTGTGAGTCAGCAAAAGATCAGTACATCTTTCAAATCGCTTACATTATTTTACAAGTGTGCAGGAGTCGTCTCCTGTAAGTACGAAGAGTATCACCAGTCTTAAGATAAGGGAGCCCAAGCCCGTAGTAGGTACAGTTCCTCATATGTTGTTGCCAGATTGCTGTTGCACTTTGTGTTGATACATCGTGACTTGAGACACTACATGGAGACATGGAGAGCCGATCCCTTTGAGACTTCCCTTTGGAGTCATATGAGACGTGCTTTGGTCTGAGGATATGGATTGTCGAAAAGCGGGACCAGGAGCTGTAAAGCACATATTTGTAAATGATGACTTGAATTTCAAGTGGGAGAGAGGTAAGATAGTCTCGTCCAGGCACGCTAGAATGTTTGTCACGATTCTGCCCGGCCTTGGGCTGTTTTTTGGCTGCCAAAGACATGTTGCTCATATCTCTGCTTCGGTTTCAGTCGTACTGCTGCAAACGGACCGAGCAGGTTCAAAGCTTGAGAGGAAGATCGTGATTGTCGTCGAAAGGAAACATTGCGATTTCGTGTTGGAGAGATTGGTCAGATAAAGTCACAGTCTTGAATTTGCGGCTGTGCCGAAGAACTTTGGGATTCCGATGATGAAAGAGGAAGGCAGATGCGGGAAGATATCCCGAAGACTTGGCAGGAGGTTGCTTTGTTCACGTGATAAGAAGATTGTTCAATAGTTACCACTTCTGGGAATGGCATGGTATTTCAAAAAAAACTGAGTGTTAATGTTTTAAGAAGATAAAAGACAAGGGAATTTCTAACCCGAAGCCTAAGAAGTAAAAAGGGTTTGATAATATAGAAAACTAAATATAACGCTTAATTATATAATATGCTATACATTACGTAAATCAAACTTTCTTATACGATTTTTTACAAAAAGAAAAAAGATAATACTTTTGTACAAGCTCGTCCATGGGAGACAAAGTCCTCCTAACCTTTCTATTCGAGGTCTAGATAAACTAACTACTCTCGAGCGACGAGTCTTGAAGTAGGATTGCAACTCGTTTTCGTAAAAGACAACATATCGTAGATTGCCGAGACTCGAGAGTAAAACAAAGAGGACACAACAAACAAGGATTATCCAAAGAAAGAAATACGTCAATGATTACTTATTCTTTTCTACTTTTAATAAATATGACATTCATGTATTCTATCCTGGTACTGAAATGACATTTCAGGACACAAGTACTCTTACGTACAGATACTTTACAAATGTATCTGACAACAACGTGCTATTACCCCGGCAATAAGAAGATATTTCGTCTTCCCCCAGTGAATCATCCCCTAACCCTAGCTTCGACTCGTATCTGCCAAATGAATGTTACCTGAATCAGATTCTATATCATCAAAGAGAAAACGACGCCCTCTCCCCAAGAACCCCATCCCAATCATAACAGGCCATTCAAGAAATACTAGCTTTCGGGGCCATAATAGTTCTCTCCACATCACTAAGAGAGTTTTCGACCCCCTGATAATCGCTTGTGAAAAGTTAGCTGTGGCCTTGATAGAACACCTGCTGACTATTTTAATCCAGTTCTCAATCCACTTAACAAAGTAGCTGGAAATACACAGGATAGCCAGCAATACTGTAGTCGTAATAAAGCCTACAAAGTGAATATTGGTATAACTCATATGAGCAAAGAGTACCCGGTCACAAAGTGTTTCATGTCCCGCCAAGGTGTTTTGGTAAAAGGGAGCGTTATAATATTTCCGTTTGATGTCGATAAGTGCTCCATGTTGGACCTGTAACATCGTCTTTTCAATCCCTTTTAAGAGCCATTCTTTGACTTCTCCTCTCCAATCTGTAGTCAAGGTCTGACCCATCGGATGTCCTTCCCACTTTACCTCCAATGGATCAGGCAATGTGAAGGGAACATTCTTATTATGAAACATCCAAGGGGTTCGCTGTAGAAAGTATTCATGGACTGATAACTCTTCTGTGAGCATTCTGGAAACCCAAACGTCCTCGATAGTGCTTATGTCTTGCTCCTTTTTCAGCTCCTCCTCAACTTCATCAAGCCTTTCTGATAGTGTTCCCCAGGATGTACAGAAATGCGATGCTGCTACGCAGTATTGAAAACTCTCCAGACAGCCAAGTGCGGTTGCTTCTTGGTCGGGGAGATAGTACGTAGGTCCCAAAAGAATTTTGTGTGGGACGTGAGAGGAGAACAGTGGATCATCGTTTGTATAAGTATATACTGCGGGACCGGCTCGATGGACTGCTAGAAATATCTTTCCCTTTAGGCTTTGTAATTTCTCGTCAACAACCTCCTCTGTGGGGTATGCACCGAATGTAGTAAGGTTAGGTCCTCCCGGTGGTCCTCTACCAGTAAACGTATCAAGCGCAGAAAATTGTGGTAGTATGGTGAGGTCGTATGGCCATCGTTCTCCGCGCATGCGTGTGCTAAGGTCTTCATTCGTGGTAAGGTTAGGGTTGTTTATTGTACGTAACGTTATTCCCAGCTTCCGGTCGGCAACTTCGAAAAATCTATCTCTAACGGCAACAGAAATCACTGTTTCGCTTCCAGAGCCATTTTTCAAGTGAAGGAATGTGTCAAGGAAAATAGGAGCGCAGGTAAGCCGATGGTTGATCGTAATTCTTGATCTTGAATTGACTCTCATCTCGTTTGGCGTAATACCCCTATGTGATATTTCGTATGCCAAAGTATTGTTATGACATGTGTGTTCCGCGAACATACATGTCTGAAGATTGTTAGCGACAATTTGTCGTTTTGGGAGGTGATACTGCTGTTCGCATCCAAAGTATGCTATAGGACAGCTTTTCAAGTCTCGCTCTGTTGCGGTCCTCAGACTTAGATAATGACTGTATACAGAATCTGCATCGGATATATTGTCAGATAGCGGATATATACATGTGTCCGCCATTTTAGATCTCACAAGAGCTGATCCAGTTGCACCTTGCGAAAGAAGTACAGGCATGGCAACGCTTAAAAATATAAACAGAGCTATGTTCAAGAAAGCGACGATCCCGAAAAGTGGTGATATTACTGAGCAATCAGGAGTGCCAGGTCTGCTATGCCGCTCCTGGGAGATTCGCGATGTACATGTTTCGATGATTCGGGTTCGAAGTCTATGAGTATGATACTCGACAAAAGGTAGAACATCTGTAATCGCTCTTCCTTGGGAGATATCTTCGAGTGCGTCGTCACTGACGCCATTGTCGTCAAGCCTCACCGATCTTTTTCTTAGAAGAATTAGATAGCGTAAGATAGTCCATGATCTGGATTGCGAGAAGGCAACCAAAACGGTAAAACAACCTAGGACAATAATTGCATCACTATTACGAAGGGTCCAAACCCAACGTCCAGGTCTTGTTTCACTATATTTCTCCCACAGACCCGTCAATACGGTTGGAGAGGAAGGAAATCGATCAGGAAAATAATCAGGATAAGGCTGATTCATAGTTCTGTCCTTGAGAAGCGGTTTGGCGGGGATTTCGGTACGAAATTGTATCGAGGACAGAGGATGAATGAAAAAGTGGTCTCGAGAAAAAGATTCTATAATGTACGACGTTGAAAGAAAGTATACAGAATTTTGATGAGCCCTGGAAGGCTAAGCGACACATGGAATGTAGGTTCTATAACGTACCATATGACATTTCAACGCGACTGACTACCAAGACCGCAGATCTTAAAAAAGCTTGTGCGACTACTTTTGAAACATTTTTTGATTAGCAGAGTATCACCCGAGAGGCAGTGCATGCAGACCGCGAGACAAAAATAATCTCAGCAATCAATTTGAATGAAACCAAGTACTTGTTTTCTAGAATCGGTCCCGAACAGCACCTAACTTGTCCGGCTGTCGTGATAGTGTGAATGCACATGCAATGGCAGAACATACTCCGCAGTCTGATCCTGGGAAGTAACATAGTCAAACGTCTAAAAATACGACATTCTAAATCTATCAAAACCACACTTGAAGTGCAAAGCCACTGTAGGCAAAAAAGTTTTCTGATAGTCCTAGAGTATGGGATGATGGCTAGAGCAATGGCGGCAACGTTACGCGAATACAATCACTTGAGAGAGTCAACACTTCGGTGGGAACCATGTTGGGGTAACAGCCTTACCCGTGGACATCCTGTCGCTACTGTAACATGCTTCAACCCCTCCCCTCGCTTGGTATCGGCACTTGCCAAATACGTTCATACGCCGATGAAGAATCGCACATATTAAGTGTCACACAGCTTGAGACTCACGCCGAACCAATCGGCTTTCTTTCCGCCTATTAAGGCTGTATGTGCTGACCGCTAAAAACCATGCAATCTAAGAACATCAACCAATTGCATCCAACAAGAGAGCTGACGGTGGCCGTTCCCTTAGTCTATGCGGGCATATTAAATTTCCTTTTACGTCGTCTTAGCACACTCTCTGCCTAAGACCCGAGTTTTATACTCAGCTATACTATTGTGATTTACATTACGTCAAGGACCTTTTTTATTCTCCCAGTAAGAATAACTATAACCTCACTAACATTTATCATCTAATAGGAAAAAAATTATAGTATTTAACGTCTTTAGCTTTAAGCGCCGTAAAAGGAAAGTTAATGCATGGACGCAGAGCTTGTCCAAATGATCTAGAGCAGTTATTTGACCATTGAGTGGAATGTGTGATAGAGAGGGTGGATGTTGTATGTGTAATGCAAAGAAATCCCAAATTGGAAATATCTCGAAATACCACTGTGCTGAAGTATTTTTAAATCCACGATTAAATTCAGTATTCATTGCATTCATCCTAGTGATCAACAGGGGAAAGTCATCATCACCCATTAATTAGCCCGTACCCTGCCCAATCCAGATTTTGTTTCCTTCCACTCATCATTTCCTAATAGAACACCTCATCCCAAATTTACATCTCGACACAATGAGTTGAGATTATTAACATTGACAAATCCATTTGCACCATCAAGGCACATCTTGTGAAGTGTTTGGACTTGTCATTTCATAGTCAGGGGCTCAAGCGAGGTCCGCGAATCACATATCTTTTATTCAAAAGACCGACGAACATATAAATGCTATGGAAAATAAAGCGACTTATCTCGTGGCTCTATACTACCATAGTAACTAATACGTTTCTAAGAAAGCATATCTGAAAGCCAAGAGTTCAAAAATTTGGCTAATATTTACTATACTATATCCGCGATTGTGACGAATAACCCTATCCTCTGGATTAACAATAGCGCCTCCCTACCTATTATTCTCGCTGAAAGTCAAGAACTCTTGTTATCCTCGACATACACGTCAAATAAAAGAGCTTGTGCTGGCATCAGGTTTCGAGTTACTTCGATTGACGTGAGTTGGTTTCATTCTTGAATGTTCTGCTTGTCGAATGGGTGAAATTCGTTTCATTTGCCACACTGAATGTCTTGGATCGAGACGAAAATGCTAAGATATGTCGTATTCCACAATAGGGTCTTATTCTTTGAGAAGTACTTGTGCGCCAACATAACAGTTCCACGACTATTGCCCAGTTTGACCCTACAATTTTCGGAGCCTAACAATGTTAAAAGGCATCAACCTGAAGTTTCTGCTGTGCGGAGCTGTTACATTAAGTCTCGCTACCAGCATTAGTGTTCCCTTACCTTTACCTTCTAGTTCCTACCCGAGACCTTCCGGCGCAAAGCTGGTTTTTGGATTATAAATATTATCCACGAAACGTCCCTGTGCGTACGGCACCTTTAAGAGAAGAAACATTCAAATGTATGTTGATCGCCTTGAATAATATCTCCATCGTATTTCACACGACAGTAAACCTCTCGTGATCGCCGTGTGTATCGAATGGACTCTTGAGGTTATCCCACAACTCCATCTCGTTTTTGGCCCTAAATCCATCGGGTGTCTTGTATCGCCAGGCAGATTTCCTTGTGACAGCCATACCAAGTCGCTCGTAGACTAATGATTATGTTAGCCGTTGCAGTACCATGATAACCCCACTCACTGTGAGCCGCTTTTAAGGACGCCTACGCAGTCGAGTCAGCCTCAGGAAAGTAACATCAATACGGCCTGAGTCTAGGTTCTCGTGGCTATCATCAACATATCCAATTCTAGGTTGCATTGGCCGTAACACTGAGATTTGGTGTCTTCAGGGTCATAGACTAATTCAGTCAATGCTCCTTGGGACAAGTGCACCTTGTGCACAGTTTGATTCGACCGATTCCTTCTCCAGGAAAAACATCCTTGTAAGACTGGGCCCTTGACTTTGATCTCGTTTAGCTTGGCTATGTCAACGACCTTTTGCTCGTGCGATACAAGCTGTATATATCGGGTAAGAATTCTTACTTCTGGCGAGCAATAATACAATGAAGTGGAATACGCGATACGTCATTCGACCGCAGCCCAAGACCAAGTCAGTGCCGAATATTCTTTGGGCTTGAATATACGGTGCCATCACGGCTGTCACGAATCCACAGAAGATCTTCCATCAAAGACTGGCTTCAGAGACCAGCCATGTCGGTTGAGCCAGATATATATTTCCGGAAGTAACTAGCAACTCTAAGGAGCGTGGGAAGCTTGCCAGATTGTTGTGTCAGGCGCATCGCAGAATATCTTTCGACCAGCTTCCACCTCGTTATTACGATGTAATCCTTTCCCCTTCTCACTTAGAGTCTCGAGGATGTCTCTTTAGCTTAAGATCCGAAAGTTATATACGAGCTACATTCATACAGGGTATTATTTTGACACTCTCAAATAAGCTCATGGGACCCGAGATGCAATATCCTTGGCGACAAGATACGTTCCTGGAAGACTCAGCCTCGCGCAAGGATCGGAAAGAGAAGGAATTTAGCATACGTAGCTTCGGTATCTTGAGGATTATAAAATTTGGAGCGGAACAATATTCGGGTTTGTTACGCATTGGGTGACATATTAACGGATTGCTCGTAAGATTTCCAACAGCGCCATTATCTTACCCATACCATCCATCTCTTCCGATAGAACGTATATCTGAAAGGTTGAATTACTAAGAGCAACACTCTTTTAAGACAGGCAGTGTATTTTGTTTGCCTTTCCTGGTGGTCTATTTCCGGGTGGAAGCTGATGGGTCATCACCTCAAGATCATTGTCGAGCCATGTCTAGGATTACAAACTCTTCGTGGGGCACAGAAAGACTATTCGGCCCTACTGCCTAAAAGTTATGAGGCGGTAATGCAAAAGTCACCAAGAAAGATGAAAAATCGAATAGACATTCGTTGTGACGTTCTTGCTATTGGAAACAACATAGATGACGCATTGTCACATCAAATGTACGTGCGAATGCTAGCTCTATCACCAACTTCAAACAACTGGAGCTGAGCCGTTTAGTATACCTTGCCAGCTCGTAGATCTCACCTATAATCCTTCAGCACACCGGATGTTGTACCTTATGGTGACATAATCTCGCCTCTCAACCTGAAAACTGTTGTTTTGACGAGGTAAAGCGCATTAGATATCACAACCCTCTGTCATCATTTCATCGCATTATTGTCATCCAAAACTTCCAAACAAATATGAGCTAACTAGTGATACGCTATAGTGATACGCTATACGTTTGCTGCATTGTAGGAACGTTAAAAGGGCTTTACTAGATTACAGACATGAGGGATGTACAAGTCTATTTTAGCACCCGAGCCGTAGTAAAACTTCATCATATCTGGCCGAGAGGTCTCCAGGCTCGTCCAATTGGACATTATGTAGGAAATAGGAGCATGTGGAGAAATTAATGAGGGTGTGAAATATCACTGGTTCACCAACTTCGGCTATCGTTGAGGCAACGTCATACTCATTTAGCAACATCAAGCTCCAGCTTCATACCAAAGATCTCTGATTACCGAAACGATCTATCGTAAAAGACCCCTGGAGATATTCCTTTTCTTCGTAATTAATTGTGTATACTCACCTAAAATCTATCGTGGCCATCGTTATCTCATAACTTCCTCATTGAACAAGATGGCGGGCGTACTTGATGGTCTTTCGAACAGCTCACCACCTTCCAATCCTAACGATAGCATTCTTAACGAGGACGAAGCTCCTGGGAAATCTACCCCACATTTGGTAGAACAAGTGAAGGCATCGGTCGATAGATTGAACGCTGAGATCGCTGCCCAGGCTCGAGATGCAGAAAACTCAAAAGCTGAACCTGAAGCTACGCACTCAAATTATCAGAATACTCAAAAGCCCGTTTATGATGGGCCGTGGGTCTCTCGACCTATAAAGAGAGTAGTCTCTGCGGACCAAGGTTCTCAGCCATCCAGTGGGCTATCGAAAATAAACTCAGAAAAGCTTTACGATCCAGCCAGCCCCGACTTCGATGCAATCACCGAGTGTGAAACTATCCTGGCAAAGGAGCGAGCAGTTACTTTAGAAAAGCGCAAGAGAGCGAGCGAAAGCAGTGAGCTCGCTTCCGTTGAAGACAGAAGCGTACACAATAGTAGCGGATAAATGGAACGAGAAGTTCAATAATGCGAGGTGTGGTGAGAAGCCACTGAGTTTGCCATATATGTTGAGAGATTGAATGGTGATGTAGTCGGGGATCAGGAGAGGCTTATTAGGTAATGACTAGTCAGCAGGCTGTACATGAGTTTAGCGTGGTCAATGTTTTGACTACTCAAGGATCAATAAGCATTCAATTCGAAGATTTGTAAACCAGATTGCAGTTATTTTCTGATGAACTTCAAGAAATTCATCCCATTGAAGTTTACGTTGAAGCTTATGACAAGGCGAAGGTGATAGACAGCTTTGATATGCCATAAATGCGACATAATACACTCTCATAGTAATCAGTTTAATGTACTCGTTTTTACGACTAGAACTACAGTTAAACCATTCAAGTCTTGAGAAGCATAGAACTTTTGCAATCAAATACACGCAAGCAATTGTTAAACTGTGTCTTTGTCGTGTCAAAAAGCTGCCCTAGTCTATGCTTTTCTCAATTTTGAGCGTTGTGTTTTCATTCAGATGTACTGGAAATATCTACAATATACCTCTTTTTTATACTTAAATCGACTTGTCAATCTTTTCATTCATAGACGACTAGTACTCTCTACTTTAAACCTTTGCTACAAGATGATTTCTTAATTAAAGTTTTAAGAAACGTGTTTAAAGAAGACTAGTACTCTATTTTAAAGTTTTCCTACAAGATGATTTTTTAATCAAAGTTTAATGTAAGAAAAGTGTTCCATAATCCACAAATCTACCTAATATACAAATCAAGTCACGCAAGACGTTGTGCTTTCTGCGATTCTCTAGGAGAAGAATGGATGAGTTAGAAATTGCATAATAGATACATGCACTAGAAGCAACGACATATCAGAAAGTTTCATTACGTCTTTGCGGCTTACATCAGTAGTTATATCATATTTTGAGCAATACGGGGGGCCGAGTTGCCGCAAAACATCGCGATGAAGAGACGGACTTCAAAAGTATATGTTATCTGATCGGCATTTGTGAAAGCTATCAATACAGAGGTTGATTAACTCTTTCATCAAGAAGAAATGTATTAAGCGGAACTTGTACACAAGTTGAAGAGAAATTATTCAGAGGTGTTGAGTTCTAAAACAGCTGTTGGGTTCTAAAACAGCTAAGTCACATCTGACCGTGAGTACATTTTTCGGAAAAGTATACACAATAATCTTGCTCCGAAGCTCCTCCACATATCATCAACTCCCACCCCAAACAACAGACCATCCCACTTCCCCTCTCCCCCTAAATATTCCCATCCGCCAACATAGCACCTCCCCACCCTCCCTTCTGCAAATCATTGGTCCTCGCCCCATCACCACCCCTAACCATCTCATTCCTCTTCGCAATCCTCGCCTGCCGTTCTTTCTCCTCTTTTTCCGTTCTAGAAATATCAAGCTTGTCTTCATCCCATTTATCCTTCAATTCATGCGCTAGCTTCGAGGATTTGGTGCCTGGAGGACCGTCGAACATGGCGGAGAGAACTTTTTCACCGAGTGATTGTTTTTTTGGTGGGGATTTTGGGGAGGGGATGAGGGGTTTGAGGTCGGAGGTTGAGGATTGGGGGGTTGGTGTTGGGTTTGACATGTTGAAGGGGGTTTGGTTGGGAAGTGATTTGGTTGCTACGTAGAGTTTTGTTCATTTTCTTTGAGATGAATCATTTCCAAGACTATTCAGGAATTGGCGCATTTATAAATGGCTACAGAAGGAATGCCGACGTCTTCAAGTTCTCGAAGTGACGTAGTAAGCTGGTTCGAAGTGTGGTAACTGTTGGTGGCGGGGTAGTGAAATTGCCCAAAGTTGATAAAGATCTACAACAGTAAAAGTAAGCATCTTTCTTCTCGTACTTAAGGCCTCAGAATTCTGCCTTCTTCTTCTGACGAGCTATACCGTTTACTGCAAAGAACGAACTTCACATGAGATCAAGAGTATTGCCAAATTCCATAATTTAAACTACATTTCCAGATTGGCTTTCCGAGTGTGCATCGCTAACGGGGGGTTCCTGGCAAAAGTACTTCGTATGTCAGACACATTGTAAGTAAATCATCTGAGTTGATCTGCTTCGCACTCGGAAATGTAGGGCTGCAACAAGCTTTTGCCCAGCCCTCGCCCAGTAATAATCTGCGTCGCCGCATTTGAAGTAGGTAACACCCATGATCTGCAAAAAAGGACCCTTCAATGCTGCTGACGGATTGCTTAGCGAGTCTAAGCCTCTGAGAGGAAGGACGAAACCAACACCTGGTTGCTACGAAACTTTTAGGACTTGGAGGTAAGTCTGCGATATTCCCGCAAATTATGATTGAATCGACATATCAACAACATCAGTTGAGCGTTTAAGCTTCGTATTTGGCTTGCTAAAGACAAATGACAAAAGAATTTTGGGAAATATAGAATCTAGTTATGTCTTGAATGGAACAAGGAACTTCTTTGGGCCAAAAGGGTCTTTGAAAACAACTCCACTTCGTTCTGGAAGGAAACAATTAGAGTCATGACTCACTATCACACATAACTGAGCGCCTGCTATAGCTACTCTCACAACTTCAAATGAACTGCACTGTATGCAGTCCGCTGGAAATTTCCATCACTCTCAGTAAAACGGTCCTCGTCAGCCGTGGCTGAGCAGCAACACTGGCAGATTGATTCCAATTGTCAGATCATAGTTTCAGCTCTGCTCAATATATCCTGTCAAAGGTGTAGTCCAAGCTGATTTAATGAACGCTAAGTTTAGACCGGGTAAAGCTCTGTTGGAATTTGGTGGCTGTTGAGCTATGCTGTCATTCTGCTAACAATCGTGTAGCTCGCTACCTTCTGAGAGGTAGAGCATGAGATTAAAGTCATTGCATTCCAACAGCAAGCAGTTTATCAAACATATTTCCCGCGATCAATAGCTATCTCGGCACCTGGACTTGGAGAGAATACAAGTCGGAACAGGTTCAGTGTTGATTTCGAAGAATGGAAGCTTCCTTCGGAGCATGTTCGAAGTGTATAAGCTAGCCAATTCCAAATTACTATGATCTGACGCGTGATTTCTTGATGTGAGGTACGAGAAAGTGTAAAGCGTTCAATTCTCAGAAAGAAAGAAGGTGTAATGCGACTTGAAAAGGGGGGAAGATTTCAAGCACAAGTGCGGAAGCGGAAGAACATTATTCCGCCCCACTAAAATTATTTCCTGGTCGAATTTCTTTGCGACAACCAAGATAGCTTTAGGATCACCATCGTTTGAATTTTCAAGCCGGTCACTTGCCGCATAATCACACAAATACTGCGACATGGAAGATTCCATTGCGACAGCGACCGGCCATGGCCAGGTTCAGGTATATTTCAGTACCAATTCCCCAGATATTGAATTGCCGGAAGAGAAGAGACAACTGCGTGTACCAACAGGTATGTCATATATGCAAAGCCTCTTGAAATTCTAGTACTTACTAACCTTTCCTAGATGTTCGAAGATATGGCTTGTCTCAGATTCTAAACTCAGAGTCTATGCTGGACACATCGGCGCCAATTCCATTCGACTTTCTCATTAACGGCACCTTTCTGAGAACCACGATCGACGAATACCTGGTTGCAAACGGATTGTCCTCAGAAACGACGCTGAATCTGCAATACGTGCGAAGTTTAATACCTCCGTTATACGAGGCGAGTTTCGAACACGACGATTGGGTCAGTTGCGTAGATGTGCTGTCGGGAAGCTCTGCGGCGGGGAAGTGGAGTGGGAAAACCGTCTCTGCAGGCCAAGAACGAATTCTATCAGGATCTTATGACGGATTGTTGAGGATATGGAATAAATCTGGACAGGTCATTGCGACTTCAACTTCATCTAGTGCAGGCGGACATACCTCGAGTATCAAATCAGCGAAGTTCATTTCTTCAACCCAAATTGCTTCTGCTGGACTGGATCGCACTGTTAGAATATGGAAGTACTCGGAGGTAGAGGATGGGTTCTCCGGAGAGCTGAAACCGACACTAGAACTATATGGGCACAAGGCTGGAATCGACTCAATCGACGTACATGGCCCTTCAAGCAGGATCTTGACAGCATCAACTGATGGGATGATTGGGTTATGGACGACACAAAAGGCTTCGGCGCCTGCTGTGAACACGTCTTTACTAAACTCGGGACCAACGGCAAAGAGAAGGAAACTAACAACATCCACTTCTACCACTCAGCGAGGTCCTCTATCACTCATATCGTCGCACACAGCACCAGTATCAGCAGTGATATTTAATCCATTAGATGCAACTGTGGGTTACTCAGCTTCACATGACCACACCATACGTACATTCGATCTTGCGACATCGACGGTTGTAGACACCCGAACAACTTCCCATCCGTTACTTTCACTGTCAGCGCTTCCCGGAATTTCAACACAACTACTAGCAGCTGGAACAAGTGCTCGACACATCACTCTTCTCGACCCTAGGATATCGGCATCTTCAACCCAGGTCATGACACTTCGTGGACATACAAATAAGATTGTCTCCCTTTCACCTGATCCAGAAAGTAACTACGGCCTAGTATCAGGAAGTCATGATGGTACGTGTAGGGTTTGGGATTTGAGAAGCTCAAGACAGGGGACGAAAGATGAAGGTAATGGCTTGGTTGGAGAAGCCGTTTACGTTGTGGAGAGAGATAGTCAGAAAGATCAAGCCAAGCGGCCAGTCGGTGGTGAGGGCATCAAGGTATTTGGTGTCAGCTGGGATAAGGATGTTGGTATTGTCAGTGCTGGTGAGGATAAGATGGTTCAGATAAATAGGGGCCGTGGTGTTACAAGAGCCGAAAACTCATGATGAGATGAAGAATTGGAAAAAGGATACCCATTGTGTTTCTCATGTCTTTCAAGTGATGACAATTGAGTTGATCTATCCATCTTTCGTTTTACTGCTTATGGAAAATAGCGCTATGCACAGCTGTGGACTAATTCCTACTAGACTCAACTAGGAGTTGAGTGAATACTGAAAAGTTGTGGCCGACCTGTTTACCTGATCGGATACATATTCACCATCGATCGAAATATAAAATCCCGACCTCGAACAGCCTACACCATGACCACGGCTCCAAACAAGCATTCCCAATCCGTCCAACGCGTCCGTCGACAATGGCAAAACTTCGACCCGAACGAAGAAGAGAAATTTACATACGAATAGATCGAAGGAAAGTAATAACCAAGTACCCCAGACGTCCAAGCCTCTGCCTCACAACCTTCAGGGGATTCATCAAAACAGCAACGTCCACACAAATCAACAACCTGATCCATCTAATCGCAACCTCCCCTCCGCGCCACCAATCCTCAGATTTCTTAGTTGCTCTCACATACCCCCTCCTGCCCTGGAGAGTGAAAGAATGGCGGCGCACGTACACAAGATTCTTCCCAGAAATAATAGATCCCCTAACGAAGAGGATGGAACGTGGATTCAGACTGGGCGATCTACCGCCGGAAATACGCGTGATTATATTGGGATTTGCGGATCTCGAATGGAAGACGAGGAAAAGGCATCCTTTCGCAATGGTAGCGCGGACGATGCCGCCGCTGATCGAGGCGCTGAGGGGGTGGTGGAAGAGAGATGTGTATTTTGAGGCACTCAAGATCTTCTATGAACGTGCGGTGTATGTTTATGAGAGTAATTCGCCGTATAAGCTTCATGTGAGCTACGACGTGCAGTCTTCCATTCGAAAAGCAAGGTATAAAATGTACGTATCGAACCCTCGAGACAACCGAACCTCCTTTTTTACTGATCGATCGACCAGCTCGAGATCAAAATTGGTTCCGCAAAATCAGTGCAAGAACCGGCAAACCTCGCTCCCGACGCTCGCCCGTCCTCCCCTCGCTCGAAGAATTGCACATCTCCCCCAACCCCCGCGACTACGCCGACCACCCTAACCTTTTCGCCGCCGACATCTTCCTCCACTTCCTGGCTGGTACGCGACTCAAGCGGCTGCAGGTCGACATGTATTTTCCTACCGTGAAATGTCGTGCTCGTAGGACGTGTTTGTACTGCAAGATCTCCACGCGACAGCACTTAGAAAATGTTCACGTGGGCTTTGTTCGGAAATGTAGCTTGGCGGAGGGCGTGCGGAGTTTTACGAGGAAATCGGGGATCGTGGAGGGGAACTCGACGCTCGAAGTTTATTCGTGGATATGGACTGCGAAGGAGGGGGAGAGAATGGATTGGGAGAAGGCCAGGATGGCGCTGGGTTGATGATGAGATGGCGCGGTGTAAGTCTGGATTGAAAAATAGGTGCTTGCTGCAAATAAATGTCAGAAGTCCTTGAGATGTTCAAATACTCAAATTGGCAACTAGTTGGGTATGACTATCGGATTCTTTCACCATGTTCAGTGTGTTATTGCGCATTTCTGCTTCACAGACATTGACACAACCATCAACCTCCAGAAACAAACCATCGAGAGACAGCTATAGATCGACGTTGTAGTCGATGCTAATTAGAACTGTTATGCCAAGTTTAGGATTCTAGGTTAGCTACGATCTTGTACACCAAATCCCTGATTTGTCGTAAAAATTGTCGAATCCTTAGTATCCGCAAGCCAGTCGATCAATTTTTGGCTCGTGAAATTAGTATAAGATGTTAATCTCTCGTTTCATAGTATTGTGAAAAAGTAGTAGTGTTCTAGGCACAAAACTTTTGAATTACTTAATTCTCTTTATCCCCATGAGAATCGCTAAGAATACATTCTAACAACTAGGTACTTGTTATACAATTGTTATACCTTGAGTCTTCTAACTTACTTTATTGTTACATTATCTAGTAACATGAGTTGTCAAGTTGTCGTTTACAAGTAATTAGATTAAGAGGAACTTAAATCCGTGAGATCAGGCTCGAATTTACGGATTCCATAAGAAGTTGAATGAATTCCGGATGACCTAGATTCGTGAAATCGGTAGTAGGAAACTTTTGATTATTACCAACTAACCTTGGTAATAGTGAATTGGACTTAGTGAATATATTTTAAGATAATCCCCGATTCCATACTACTAAACACAAATTCCTAAATCTCAAACTTCCAACACTACAGCCATATCTCCACCTCAACCGCTATAATCCCTCTACCACCTCCCTCAAAAATGGCCAAAATCCGTCCTCCGCCAAAACGCCCACGTCCAACAAGAAACCCCCGAATCAAAATAACCAGAAGCCCTAACCGTTCAAGACTACATCTGTCAACTCTCAACGGCTTCCTAAAAACCTCCACAACCGCTCAGACCAACAACCTAATCCACCTCATCTCCACGTTCCCTCGATCTACCCTTCCGATCGACTCAAGATACTACCTCCCACCATGGCGAACGCGGCGACCAAAACAACGACGACGGCGATGCAGAATCTACCACCACTTTCCTCCGTTACCCATTCCTCCCAGGGAGAAGCCAGAGGGGTTTAGACTAGGCGATCTACCACCCGAGCTGTGTATTCTGATTTTCAACTTCGCGGATTTAGAATGGACGACGCGAGAACCGCAGACTGCAGCAATGACAGTCCCGCGTACTATGCCACCGCTGATCATAGCTCTCCGGGCATGGCGACGACACGATTTATATTTCGAGGCTTTAAAGCTATTCTACGCGAGCGCAGTTTATGTATTTGAATTCAACTCCCCCTGGTCCATCGACAAAATGAGTTTCAACGCCCTCGACACAATCCGAAAAGCACGCTACATACTGTAAGTGATCTTCGCCTTACCTATCCCGACCGCTTATCTGACAAACACAGATCGCACTCGGAAAGCCATCGGGGGAACAAGAGTCTTCCACTATCATGTTCTCTGCCCATCCTCCCAAAGCTAGAGGAACTACATCTCTCACCTGACATCCGCGATTTCACTGACCACAAAGGGATCTTCTTGATCGCCGGCGCTTTCCCCTACTACCTGCGCAACAAGCGGCTGAAGAGATTGCGGGTGGACTTCTATGCTCCGACGAGGAGATGTGAGAACCCGCGGTGTCCGTACTGTGTGCTGCCGACGTCGATGATATTGGAGCGTATCAATCTTCAGCTCATTAAGTACTATAGCTTGGCCACGGGAGTAGGGAGGTCGAGCAGGGCGTCAGGGGTTTGTAAGGGGGATGCGTCGGTGGAGGTTTATTCGTGGTTTTGGGAGGCGGAGGGGGGAGGGAGGATGGTTTGGGATAGGGCGATGGATGCGGTGCCTCCGGGTTAGATTAGTGTGTTAGGTGTAGGTTTGTAGGTATTTACATGTTAATTTTGTACAATAACTAAAAGTTCTGAAATAAATCTAAAACAGACGAGTCTATCTGAAAACTATAATACACGTCACGTGCTGAAGCTCATAATATGTTTTTCCATTAACGCTCTACTAGGGACCAATATATCGGGAAGCTAAGTGTGTTTAACAATAAGGGCGAGACGGAGAATGATTTATTGGATATACGTTCTCAATTACGAACTTCCTTACACGTTGGACGTAGCTTGTCAATAGATAACATAAGTACGACTTCTTGACTCGTATCCTTCACGGTGCCAAAAACCGACCTCGACCTCTAAGATAATATATATATCACTAGTCCATCGCCGCATTTTTAAGGCCAGCCAGTTGTTTGCCCCTAGTATTACTGTTTCCTCACTGTAAGATCCGCAACTTGTGTGCTTGCAGCAGCTCTGCAATGGCCTTATTTCCATCAGGGCCATCTCGTTCCGCCCACTGGAGTGCCGTAAGACCATCGCTATCTTCGAAATTAGTGTTGACTTCCTTTGTATCCAGTAGTAAGATCACTATTTTCAAAAAATGGCATTTCGTCGCAGTCAAAAGTGGAGTGTCACCATGCCGGTTTTTCGCATTGAGATCTGCTTTACCGGAGCTAAGCAGCAACATCACCATGTTCTCAGAGCCTAACGTGATAGCTTGGAAGATCGGGGTATCGCCATTCCGATTTCTCGTATTAAGATCTGCTTTTCCTGTTGCAAGCAGTAACTCTACTATCTCTAATTTCTCGAACATTATTGCAATTGACAGCGGAGTGTTGCCGAGGGTATTCTCCACGTTAACATCCTCGCAGTCAGTTTCAAGTAACGACCGGGCAAGATCCACATGGCCAATCTTGGCCGCGTACACTAGCGCTGTATAGCCTTCAATTTCTTTGGCGTTGTTATAGTTCTCGTCACTGGCCAGTAACAGCTTTAGGATAGCTTTGTTGTCATTCTTAGCCGCGTACGCTAGCGCTTTATAGCCTTCGTCGTCCTGGGCGTCAATACAATTGCCGTCACTCGCGAGTAACAGCTCTACAAGAGCTTTGTTGTCATTCTTAGACGCATATACCAGTGCTGTATAGCCATCGTCATTTTTGGCCCTTATGTCAAGGCCCTCACTCACAAATAATAACTCTGCATCGGCTTCATGGTCATTCCGAGCCGCCAGTATGATCGGGGTATTACCACGATTGTCTGTTGAGTTGACATCGACCTCACTCCGTTCAAGGAGGAGTTTTATTATCATAGTATTTCCAACCCGAGATGCCCAAGCGAGCGCAGTATCGCCATGGCTGTCTCTTGAGTCAACTTGGACCTCGCTCCGTCTAAGGACGAGTTTTAATATTGTAGTCATGCCTAGATGAGATTTCCATGACAGTGCGGTATTACCACTATCATCTATCGAATTAATATCGGCTTCACTTCGTGTAAGGAGGCGTTCTGCTATTGAAATGTCCCCTCGTTGAACCGCCCACATAAGCGGCGTATTACCACAATTATCTGTCGAGTTGACGTCGAGCTCACTTCGCGTAAGAAGGAGTTCTACAACTGTAGTTTTCCCTTTTCGTACTGCCCAAGCGAGGGATGATCGGCCCTTCGCATCCTTCAAATTGATGTCGATTGCACAGGGTGGAGGCATATTTTGTTCTCCCTCGCCGTGATCAAATGTGGTTCCTTCTATGTTTAGCAGTGATTTTATGACTACTGCGTAGCCCTTCCTAGCTGCCCAGCACAGCGAGGTTTGGATTATTTCGGTATCAACTTCGTTTCTTTCAAGGCACTGCTTCCAATATAGAGTCAAAAGTAGCTCGCTACCGCACTGGGCCAAATAAAACAGGAGTCCTTTTCGTCGCGAAAATTTAAGGTGGCGCCCAAGACTAGTCCATCCAAACCTGTATTGGCAATATTTATCCCAGAGTTCGCGGACTGTTGGCGATGAAGTCAGACTTGCGGCTAAAATTTTTACAAGTGCCTTGGTGGCATCAAAACTAGCGGTAGCCAATGAAGCAAGAATTGGAGCGCCGTAACGTCCACCTTCAATATCAAAGCAGGACTCCCTTCTAGAATGGATTTGAATCAGGTCAGCCAGGTTTCTTTCAGCGAGGATGTAAAGCAGAGTAGTCGGATGTTGGTATAAACGAGTTGGAACCGTCTCAAGAAGATTGCTGAGATATATCCACTGTTGAAGAGGGAAAGAGGCGAGAAAATCTTCTTGCATTATGGCGTATTGATGTGCCCTGCTGGAGTGTTTGAGGATATTAAAAAGAGAGTATTTGAGGAGCGGGAACCTTGAAGTAATATTTTCCCGCGTCGTCGGTGAACCTTCTACCGTCAACAGTGGCACAGGGTCTGGCAGATCAATGTTTTGGTTGAACGCAATGTCCAGCTGAGCCAAACAGCAATTTTTCAAAAGTTCATGGCTCCTTCCCACAAAGTTATCGGAAACCTCAGACCACTGAGCATTATATCTGCCCATGAGAAAGTCTCTGACGGACTCATGAATGAAGTGGACTTCGGCAGCACGCGTGACTTCTGCTAATCCTTTAGAGTAGCTTCTGAGCAGAGTTTTTAATTGATCCAAATCCACATCGTCCGGATCCCAATCAATTAAGGCTTTGTTATTAACACAAAGCTGAATTGCAGAATAAAGTTCCTGGGCCTGAAGCGGACGGGTCGCAAAGAGGATCCATTTAAGACAAGCATCCAAATATTCAACATTTGCTTCATCTCGTTTCAAAATCATCTCGAACAATCGGCTCAGTTCCGGCGGTATCTTTTTGAGGCGCTCATGCATCTTCTTGGTGGACATGACGCTTTCTGGATATTCAGAGTTGAGAATATCAAGCACTAATACAACCCAAAGGAAAATCCCAGAAGATTTCTCGAGGATTTCGGAGCGCAGCGATTCGGCTTGCTTGGACTTGCCTATCCGAAGTCTTGACTGAATATACTGCTTGATATCTTCTGTGTGGCCAGTTTCCGTTTCGAGGGTGACTTCGATGCCCTTTTGAATGACTACAATTGGATAATGTCGACTGGAAAAGCAAATATTTAGAGTGACCTTAGCCTCCTGTGCACAATCACAGAGCTCTTCAAAATAGCAGACCATACCTGCAGTTTCTCTTGTGTCGCATTCATCCAGCGCGTCAACAAATATGGTCAAAGACCGAGTACCAAGCTTCTTCACGGCAAGAGCCAGTGTCCGTTTCGATGCTTCTTCATTCCATCCATTCCGTTGGATACCCCTTGCTCCATCTTTCGTCATCCATTCTAAACTGTCTTCCAAATCCGTCACCTTTTGGAACAACTGGTGAAGAAGCGAGCGATACAAACCTGTTGTCGATCTCTCCTCGATAACGCCCCATGCCAGAAAGAAAAATGAGATGGTGATCTTCGAACTATCATAACTTGCACTAGCCTTGGCATCTTCAAAAAGGAACTTCATAATCGTTGATTTCCCTGTCCCTGGGTGACCCTGAAGCCAAAGAAAACCTCCGTGGTCTTGCTGTTGTGCTGTATCCTGCCAGGAACGGTATTCCGGAGTCTAAAAAACCAGTCGCAGGTCTTGCCCTGAGCAGCTGACAAGCTTGTCAATCGCTCGTCAATTTTATCAAAGTAAAGTAGGTCTATAAGTGATTTTCGGGTACTTGAGTCAATATTTTTTACGAGAGTTCGAGGTTTGGGCGGCAATTCATGACCATAATTGCGTTGAGGTCGAGTGCCAGAGGCCTGCGATTGTGAAGTCTTTAGCCGTTTCGGACCTGTAAGAAAGGCCTGGGAGACTTCGTCTTGATAATGCTTTGTTCCATGCTTACAAACTTCTTCCGACAGTCGACGAAACGCATTTTGTTGTCCTTCTCCATAAATTAAGGGCATATGGACGTCAAAAATGCCCAACAGGGAATACACTTTATCTTCGTCACGCTTGGTCTGACGTTTTTCTGTCCACGACAGCCGTTCTACCACACTGAAAGCAGAAGGCGCAGTTCCTTGAAGAGCTGATGTCAAAATACCCGTTACCTCATGGATCTGACGCTCTAATGACCGCTTGTCACCCAGTCGCCTACCGTTCGAGCAAAAGAACTCAACGGATATTGGTGCAATGAGTTCCTGAAGTGTCCAGCCACGGGTAAACCATCGACTTCGCCGAAAAGCTAGTTCCCATGGTGGTGGGGACCCGTCGACTAATTCATCGTGGTCTCCCGTTTGAACGTCTGATAGGAACACGTAACATTTTGCAGAGTTCCTGTACCAGCGAAACATAGAGGTGATAGCTTCTTGAAGCTCGGGACCATCTGATTTGTTGATACAGCACGTATCTATCCAGAAATATCTTAAGCTGTGGCGGCTGGCCTGTTCTGCACAAAACCGGATCTTAACATAACCGGGCTTGTTTTGACCAGTACCATCCAAAATATCACTTAATGTGACCTCATCTATATCTTGGCCCCAAGTATGCGAAAGTATAGCGTATGGAGGGATTTCATCGTAATATACTTTTGTGAGGCTGAAGTTGCCTTCGCTGTTACGCTCTAGGAAGCGTGGCATCGCAAAGGCGTTGACCTTAGTAACATCTTGGCAATGACAGGAAGATATCACATAGAGGCATTGTTGAATCGCTGCGAAGTAAAGAGGATGTTTGGCGATGCGACAGATATGTTGTTGCACGGGGCTGGGACTGTGAGGTTCATTAATGCCTTGCACGTGTAACGTCGGGCGGAAGCCGTGGCACGTGACTATGGTCTTAAGGGGAGCCTGTAGATTATCACTATCTCACAACCCATCAGATTTGTTACAAAGACGCAACAAGCAAAGCAAAAACACAATGGCATCAAAGTGGAGCAAAATCTATCATATCATTTCATCTCATCTCGCCTCCCTCCACCTCAATCCTCCTGCCACCATGTTTCTCCCCCCCAGAGTCTATTATACACACCTAGCAACCTCCTATATAGAGCCAAGGGAATCACCATTTTAAGCAGAGCCAAAGAAACCATCACTATATCATATCGTACCAAGCAAAGCTATAGCCCCAACCCCAAACCTGAATCCACAACACCAGTCCCTCCCAGCCCAGCCTAAAAACCGTGGCATGTACCTGTCCCCCATGTCTCTTATACCATACCTCTCTTAGCAGCTTAACTGATACACAGCAAATACCTTCCTCTCCCATATCCCCAAATAAGACCCATTTTCTGTGACCCAATGCGCCCCCCAATTTCGGTGATGCACCAATATAGGCAAAGAATTCCACTCCCACCTAGGTACCGCGGAACAAAAACTGCATATCCTCCGGCGTCAAACTCTCCATCGCACTCTCATCCGAATTAATCGTCGAATTAATCATATTGGCCTTCTTCTCCTGGAGCAGCACCATTCGACTCTCGACAGAATCCTCAATACACAGTCGCGTGATGGAGCAAGGACGTGCTTGACCGATACGATGGCAGCGATCGGCGGACTGCCATTCGGCAGCTGGATTCCACCAGGGGTCGACGATGAAGACGTGGGATGCTTCTGTGAGATTGAGGGCGACACCGCCGGCTTTGAGGGAGACGAGGAAACATTCGACATTTACGTCTGTCATGAAGTGGTTGATTGAGGCTTGTCGCTGGGCGGGGGTCATGGAACCGTCGAGCATGACGGTGGTGATTCCTGCGCGACGGAGACGCCATTCGACTAGTTGAAGCATGGTTGTGAATTGACTGAAGATGATGGACTTGACGGATCTGTTCTTCGAACGCAGTTGCCACAAATCGTGCACGAGGAGTTCGATCTTGGAACTGCTTGTCCAATTCTCCATCTTGATTCTGTTAATGATTGATGATTTCTTAACTTGCTGTTCATCTTGCTCAATATCCGGTTGCTCTAGATCTATACTAAGCGGGATGTGACACTGTGGACAATCAGGTGCATCTAAGATAGTTAGCATTGCAGTAGTAGTGGGAAGATGTATGCTTACCAGACGATCGGAGATAATTCTTAGCACACTCGCGACAAAAGTCATGCTTGCAAGTAGACCTAATAGCTTCTTCTGCAGTCTCATCACAAATACAGCAAACAAGAATGTTCTGACCACCATCGCCATTCTTCTTCAGAATAAGATCCGGGTGATCAGCAACTTGTCGCATTTGCATAATCAGACCAAAAATGTTGGCGTAATTGTTGAGTAGTACACCCTGAGCGACATACGTCTCAAACTTTCGTGTACCACTATTCATGATACTACCAGCAAAATCATTTTCCTCCTCTCCAAAAAATTGCCTATCAACGTAGATTTCCTTGGCTGGAAGTTCCATGGCAGAAGAATGGTCACGCTTTACACGACGAAGCATGAATCGACCAGTCAGAATACGGAGTTTTCGGAAAGCCTCCTTCCCAGGGCCGTTGTTGCCGAACTTCTGGATAGGGTTGAGGAGCTCCTGGTTGAAGACAGAGACGTGTTGCATACCACTGTGATTGCAGCCCACACATCGATTATCCGAATTCATCTCCCAATTGAGTCTCGAACAAGGACATTGTTTGCAGAAATAGCATGCAAAGGGTCGAATGTCCAGGAAGCGAACTAAGGAAAAGAACTCTCCAATACGATTCTGAAGAGGTGTACCTGACAGACACCACTTGTGGTCGGCTTTCAAGGCGAAGCACGCTTTTGCAGAACCCGTGGTACGTGACTAAAATGGTCAGTATTGATATCAAAATAGCAGATCCAAACATACCTTGATATTGTGTGCCTCATCGAGAATGACCCGGTGAAAGCTTATTTGATGGATGAGACTCTTCTCCTTGTGGTTACCATTTTTACGCTTGAACCCCTTCTCCTGCTTTCGGTACATTGACTCCAGACTGTTGTAAGACATGAGAATGACGTTGTACTTCATCAGCTCTTTTTGTGAGATGCCCTTGGTTTTGGCATTGGTACCGTGGTATACAAACGTCTTCAAAGTGCCGTCGGTGTAAGATTCAATTTCCTGCTGCCATTGCATGAGAGCAACTGGCGGAATCAAAACTAGAGATGGCTTCGAGGCGGGGAAATCCGACATAATAAGAGAAACAGCTTGAATCGTTTTGCCCATACCCATTTCATCACCGAGAAGACCACCTCCCCAAGCGGTTTTCTCCATTGCCATCATCCATGCAACACCTTGAAGTTGAAAGGGCTTGAGCTCTCGGTTGATGTTCTTTGGCTGTTCAATTGAGACATCTCCAATTTTTGGGAGATCTTCAAGTTCTTTCCACATGGTATGAAGTTCAGGATGATGCAGCTCCAGCCGAGCACGCTCCATTCTGCCTCGACGATCATGTCGCGCTTCAGCCACATTGATTCGTTGACGAGCTGCAGCACGCGATCGATTTGGCCCACGTACGGCTGGAGCAGCAAGTGGTAGATCGTCAGAATCAGAGTCACTTAAATCCGCGATGAATGTAGGCATTTGAGCACTGAGATCACTGTCGTACTCGCTCTCAGTCACCGCAAGCGATCCTAGACTACTCAGTGCAGAGCTTGTAGACCCTTTTGTATCGTCTCGCTTCAACTTTGGTGTAGATTTCACCCCTGAGCTTGCACCGGTCTTCGCTCTTGATACAGTCGCTTCTAATATCGATCTCAGGGCTTCATCAGAAGTTTTCATTGGCCTCTTACGGACTTGAGGGCCTTTTGTTTTAATCTTTGTGGAGGAAGTTTGCTTTCCTTTTCGCGATGGTTGGGGAAGCAGGTCGTCGTCAGAGACATTGTCAGAGACGTAGGTTGCCACAGACCGGATATCATCTTCATCAAAATCGCTTTCTGACGCATCATCAAAACCATCATCTTCAGAATCATCCGTATCGACGACTAATTTCTTGGATTTGGAGCTTTGAGAAGTAAACTTGATGTCATTTGCACCCCGAGAAGAGAGCTCAACCTTTGGTTTCTTGGCAAAATGGGGTGATGTGGTGGTCATGCTTATGGGATCTTCGTCGTCGTCGCTGTATGTGTACTCGGATTTCGGCAATATCTTCTGGGTTCTGCGTGGAGTCCTTCGTGCTGAAGTCGTCCTTGAGGAAGACGGCATATCTAGATCCATACCATGCATTCCGGAAGATTTAGCATCTTCTTGTTCCTGGAGAGCCCTGGCCAGCTGAGCATCGGGGGTGTTGTCATCATCTTCTTCCTCATCCGAATCTGCGACTCTTTTGCGCTTGCCTAGAGATAATTTGCTATTCCGAAGAGCCGCTGCTTTGGCTACCATACTAAGCCCTGAGGTCGGAGCTGACATACTCGCTGATGGTCGACCTCTTCGTGTGGATGTAGGCTTGGGTTCTGGTTTTGGCGTCGCAACAGCACTTGTCCCTGGTGTTGAATATCCGCTTGCTTCCTCGTAATCGTGCGATGTGGAAACCGATGATAAGGAGTCCCGACTGGTTCCTGCATTGGCCTTTCTTGCGCTCATCCGCTGAGGAATCATGGCAACTGGAGGAAATTCAGAGGACATGGAAGAGTTGTCGTCACCGTCGACAGCAGAAAGCGCAGACCCTTTGGGGGTGGAATCAAGAACGGATAATCCGTCAATCGCATTGCGGAGTGATCTTCTTGTACTGGTAGCTGTTGTCGATTTGTCAGAAAGGTTCTGAAATGAGGTGTTTTCGGGTGAGACAGTGAAATGGTGTTATTGAATTATTCCGATCTTACTTACAGGTAGCTCGCGAAGAAGTTGTGCTTTTGTCCAAGTTAGCTACCTTTCTGGGACGTCCCCTCGCTTTAGATGCGGGCGCCATGGCGATGAATCGGAGTGAGAAAGATTGATAGCCGTGAATGGTATGGTTGTTTGAAGTAATCTATAAAGATCAAGATGTAGATTGCACTGTGATCAAGCTGCGAAATGGGTTCTGGTGACGAGAGGCGGGTTGGCGAGTGTAGCAGAGCGGCTGGATGATGAGATAGTGATCGAGAGATGCTGCCCGCAATGAAGATGTATATTCTCTTGAAACAGGTGGTGAATGGATCGAATTGATGAACAGTGGAGTGTGCAGAGTATAGATCAAGAAAGAACTCTTCGACCCGGAATTCTCGAACGAGGAAGCGGCCTAGTTCAATTCCCCTTCGAAGCAACTTCTCGATCTCGGTGGCGATAAGGCAACCCCTGATCAGCCGTGGGACGCGCTTTTTCTTCGGCTCGCTCGCGCGCTCACATGACTTGGTGCCGCCTAATTCAGGGGAAGGACGTCCATTGGCCGCCGCAAGCCGATTAGGAGATAAGCAGGGTCTCAAAGTTCCTCCGTCGCGTCAAACACCAGAAGCGGGAATGAAGGGACTGGATCAGACACCACTTAGAGATTGCGATTCCGAATCTGTGAATGCCCTCACTCGCAAGCCCTCAATCTGACAAATCCTTCTATCATCATATATATCCGATTTGGTATTCGCCAAAGACTACAGCAGCGCATGCAAAGACGTCCATTTGAATTGTTCGAGAAAAGCCAATCTCGCCACTCCCGCTTGTTTGCTACAACAAACATTCTCCCTCAACAAATAAGCAAATAAGGAAACCTCGGGAACATGTAAGCTTCGCAAAACTCTCTAGATCGATGAATACTTACTGCCATCAGGTCTATGAATCCTCCCAATCCACCAAATGCTCCAAATGGAGGGGCACAGCGACCAGTGCGCCAGATCAGAGGCCCGTAGGTACAATGGCCACGTTATGTAACTTTTACTGACAACTTGACTGCAGTCAATCTGCCTTGACCGACTTTCTAGCTGTAAGATGCATGCTTTTCCAGTCTTTGAAGCTGTACTGACATAGAAACAGTCCCACAACATCAACGCAAACCAGATTCGACAAGATGCAGATGCACGGAGAGCAGCGGCTTTGGCCTCGAGGCAAGCAGGCGATGACGACGAGAACACTGCTCCCACTCCACCATCCGAAGATGAGCCTGTCACCATTGCGAGAAAACGGGAATCAAAAGCGCAGACTGCGAAGAGAAAGAAGGAAGAAGAGGTGTGTTGCGAACACAACCCATAAATTGCGAAACTAACAAGTTTTCAGAAAGCAATTGCCAAGATCAAGGCATCAAAACAGTTCCAACGCAAAAGAGCAGCATACGGTTCAGACAGCGATGTAACAGACGAAGATGAGGCCGCAAGAAGACAATTCGAGGAAAGTCATGCACCATTACCAGCACAAACGGAAAACTGCGAAATCTGTGAAAAACGTTTTACTGTCACCGGGTACAGTAAGAAAGGTGAAGATGGCGGATTACTTTGCCCGAAATGCTCAAAGGAATTAGACAAGGAACAAGGTGCAGAGAGGAAGCGACGGAAAACAGCACAAGGACGTCAACGAAGACAAGTACAGAGTAATCTGCTCGACGGCATCTATCCAGGAGCAAAAGACCTCATGACGATATGCATAGAGACTCTTGCTAAAAATGTTGATATCGCCGAGGATCTGGGAGACTTGCCAGATTCGATGGTCAACAGATTGTCTAGTATACTGTCAAAGAGGAGATTGATGAATTCTACCACCCTGAATCTATTCTTGAAGATGGGAAAAGATACAATCAACATCCACGAAGGTGCCAAACTTACGGCAGACGATTATATCAGAGTATTCCAATGGACGCCTACCGTCAAAAATCTTCTTGTAAAGGATGGAATTCAATTCAAAAACAAAGTCATGGATCATTTGATAGATTGTCCAGTCAAGTTGGAATCATTCAGCATTCATGGATCGAATCTTATCGACGACGACAGATGGAATCGCTTTCTCCAAGAGAAAGGATCATATCTGAAAGCTCTCAAAGTATACTACACAGATGGCCACTTTGGAGATGAACAACTCGAACTCCTCCCAAAGACCTGTCCAGATCTTAAAATCCTCAAAGTCTCACACAACCAAAAGGTGACCGACGCAGGAATCGCCCATCTGGCCAACCTCAACAAACTCGAAAAACTGACCCTCCAAATCTACAAACCCACAACATCTAAACCATACGTGAAAGTAATCGACGCCATCGGCTCTAGCCTCCGCACCCTCTGCCTCGACGCCGTCCATACAATCAATGACAAAGTCCTCGAATCCATCCACAACAACTGCCACAACCTCACCAAACTCCGTATCACCGACAATGAAGTCCTCACTGACGCCGCCTTCGCCACTCTCTTCACCAACTGGTCCAATCCCCCACTAACCAACATCAACCTCTCCAAATGCCGACACATCGACGCCGCTGACCCACGCGACAACCCCTCTAGCATCGGTCTGGGCTCCGCCGGTTTCGTCGCCCTGATGGTCCACTCCTCCAAAACCCTCCGCTACCTAGACATCCACTCCTGTCGCCACATCTCGCTCGAAACATTTGAATCCGTCTTCAACCCCACCGAAAAAACATATCCCGAGCTAAAGAAAATGAATCTTAGTTTCTGCAGTAATGTAAATGATTTCGTCGTCCAGAGTATCTTTAAATGTTGCCCAAATCTGGAAACGCTCGTTACGTTTGGCAATTTCGGGGTTAGGGATGTGAGGGTGCCGAAGGGGAAGATTTTGATTGGCGTGCCGACGGCGATGGGGATGCAGATTGAGGGGACGGAGGATGGGGAGGGGAGGGTGATTTAGGGGTGTGCGAGGGCTAATTATTTGAGGATATTTAGGTATGTAACTATGGTTAAAGGTGGAGTGGGAGTAGGATCTATGGACAGCTTCTTCAGAGGGTTAGGAGGATATTCGAACTTATCTGGTTTTGAGGGCTTGCACAGGGAAATTGGCGTTTGGTCGTATGCCTTGATTTTATGAAGTGGATTAGGACGAGATGTAAGACCATAATAGAAATAGCGTGGAATTTGGCTATGAATTTGCTTATCCATCTAGCTCAAAAGTCCCTCAATTCAACTCTCAATCCCACTCCCTTAACACCTCTAACTAACCCACCAGACCTCCATCCCCAAACACTCAAAAAACCACACGCCTGATGGTAAAAGAACCAAATCCCATCTCATCTCAAAAAATCCAACAACCTCGCCAGTCTTCCTACAACAATGTTATTCCAGGACACCTAGTAGTTCCCCCTAAACACAAAACATGTCCTACCACGGTACCACCTCCCTATCCCTCCCAACCAGATTAAACAATCTAAAACCTACATCCACACCACAACGATTTGTTGAAATCCCATCTTAATGGCTTAAGTTGAAGTTTAAGGCCGCCGCTTAACTTAACTTAATGTAACTCAATTTAATGTAACTCAACTTAATGTAACTCAACTTAATGTAACTCAACTTAATGTAACTCAACTTAATGTAACTCAACTTAATGTAACTCAACTTAATGTAACTCAACTCAACTCCCAACTCCCAACCCAACTCTCAACCCCCAAATCCAAATTCTCAACTCGTACGGCAAACCCCACTCGCGAACTTACTTCATCCGTATCCACGGGTCAGGAAGCCTAGCTAGCGGTGTCATACGTACCTATTACTAGATAACCTCCAACAAGTACCACAAACAAACTTCCCGTTCAAACTACAAAACCTACCTAACCCCCGTAGTGTCGACTCAGATGCAGCCTACTTCCTCGTGCGACGAACTTGTCAACCACCCTCCCCTCGTCCCAATCATCAATCCACACTAACCCTTTCTCAGCGGACGTGCGGTCGCTCTATCATATTCGTAACCCTTCCTTTCGTACAAAACCCCCGGGATAATTTCATAACAGAATAATTTTGTATAAAAAACCCACTCTACTACGCCGCACTTCCACGATCCTAAATCAAGCTTTTCGTGCCCTAAGACACCCTCCCTACCCCACAACCACTATACCCTGCAAGGACCTACTCCACCAGCGACTTACCCCCCCCACCATCCCCAATCCTCCTTCCTTCCTTACAACCCTCTCCCCATCAATCCATCCCACCATCTAGCCATTCCGTAGAATCCCATAAATACATACATACTAATGAAAATTTCATCCACTCTCTACATCACCACCCCGACGCAGCCCGACTTACAGTTATTTTCGCGTAATGAGAAACCCCCATCGTTTCGACTACCTTCCCCTTATCTATCAACATTATATGATAAGACCACATATCCGTGGCGTTTTCCTACACTTTGAACAGGTTTTCTAATACATCAGTTTCTAGCACGACCTTACCTACACCGACCGCATGACAGATTCCCACGCGGAGCCGTGGTTCGTTCGGTCATGGATCATATTACTATTGCTACCAACCTACTGAGACTAAGAACAGGCAGGGGAAGGTAAAAAGCATGTGGGATCGGTGAGATCAGTAGTTTGCAAGGGTTGTAGTTACAATACTTTGTTTTCAGCAGCTTAGTTTAGTTTGGTATCTCTGGATCGACACAATAATCAACGGTATGTACACCGCCCCTTCTTCGTCTATCACATCATCCCCTCTCATCTCCTATCCCCTGGTCTCATCTTTCATCCTCATCTCATTCACCCCTAACTAACCCCACCTCATCATCACCACCTACTCCCTCCCCTTCCCCCTCCCACCCCTCTCAATCTCCCTCACGACCCCGCGGACATTACTATTATTCTCAAAACTCAACCTTATCAACTCCACAACCTCCTCAGGCGAGAAGTACAACGAGAGATCACTTTCATTCCATAGAAACCTGATATCATTAAGATTACTCTGGAGCACCTGATTCAGGAAATTAAGTCTGAACCAGAGCGGGACGAAATGTGGAGCTAGGGAGATGGGTTCAGGCTGAGAGACATTCTGCGGTTTGAGGAAGAGGTCCGAGAGACCTTCGACTTGGGTGAGGATCGTGGCGATGCGCTCGGCGTCGTCGACGCCGATGGTGGTGAGTTCGAAGATGTCGGTGATGAGTTTGGAGGCGACGCTATTGACGAGGGAGCCGATGGCTGAAGCCAGGGTAGACCAGGTGAGGAGTTTGGTCCAGTCTTTGCATTTGTCTCGGATGTATGAGATTACATTTTTGGTATCCGCTTCGATTGTGATTGGGTCTTGTTGGAAGAAGTTTTGAGTGTCTGGGAAAGGTCAACAAGCTATATATGAAGTAAGTGATAAACAAATCATACCACCAAGGAAGTTTTTCAGCGTTGTTCTCTGGCTGACAAGCTCATTCGTATAAGCACGTTTGCCAAAACTTTCCAGAGTCTTGGTCTCTTGATCTAATCTGACTTTCCCATAACTTCTATCGGAAAGATCTTTTCGCTGTTTCCACTCTTCTTGGTAGTTGTTCAGTTGTTCCGATAGCCACATTGCATCATTGTAGAGGAAACTATCGGTTTAGGTTAGCTTGATCACATCAATGACTGACACACTTACAGATTACCATTCGGGTCCTGGCTATAGTAAGCTGGGGAAATAGCGCGATACATGGCTAGTACGGATGTAGGTAGGTTGAAAAGACCAGGCGCAGCTGGAGTGATTGGAAGTTTCGAGTTCCTTAGGTGGTTAGAATTGGGAATTATCGGTGAACATGATCGGAAACTTACTTTTCTTGCGTCAATGAAGCAGCGTCTTCGTATATGGTGACAACAGTACTCAAAACATGTTGCGGCATCGAAGAGGTATAGTATTTTTCGGCGATGGTCATCTCTCGAAGATCGCTCACGACTTCACTGGGCTCCGGCGTGATATCAGGTGATGGTTCTGGATTTGGTGTCGCTGGTCTTTCTCCATCCCCATCATTATCTTCATCACCCCAACCCCATGCATCCGCTCCATCGTTTGCATCATCCTCAATGACATCTTCAGGTATTGGTAAAGAACTTTGTACTGTCGTCCTTTCTTCCTCAAGAGAACTACGATGCCTTCTCATTGTGGGAGCAGGGTCCGGCTTATCATTATCGTCCCCGCTATCCCAAGCAGCATCCCAGCCATCTTCCGCTGTGTCTTTCTCGGTGGCTGCGAGATGAGATGTCTCTTCCTGCGCCACCATGCGCTTTTCAACTTTCACGGCGACTTTAGGGGTACCGACGCCTGAACATATTATTAGCCAGAAGAAAATAACAACAGAGCATACATTAGAAACATGTCATGACGTAGTCTAGTACACAAATGAAGGCATTGAAACAGTGAAAGCAGGAGAGAGCTTACCTAATGAGAGTTGATGTCGAATCCAATCCAGAGAAGTCTCCCGCCGTTTAGCTAACCATATTTTTGGTACTCCGCTGACCCAGTCATGAAAGCTGGCTGTATCGGGCCAGTGCATTTTGTCAAGCTCACTGGCAAATTCTGCTACTTGAACCAAAGCAACTTGGTACCCTCGAAGATCTTCGAGAGAGGTAGGTACGGCATTGTCCAACCAATTCTCCTTGACACGAGTAGATAAGATTGGCATCATGGCATCTGAAACGTGGCTAATGAAGTCTCGTGGCAACTTTTCGAACAGGAATCGAATGATTCCAGTCAAATCAGCAAAGAGCGACTTAATTGTATGGTCTGCTGATCCTTCTGTTGACTTGATTGTATTCTGGATATTTTGTTAGCATTGCCCTGCGTTCAGGATGAAGAAGCGTACCCCATCTATAGCCACACCTGGCTGTACGCCAGATTGGAGAATGGTTCGTGGTTTGATGATTATCTGGTCCAGCTCCTTCCAAAAGTTGATAGCTACTGCATCTACCTCTTTGAAAGAGTCTAGCGCAAGAATCGCTTGTTCCAGGTCTATTCTCCCAGCTAATTATATCTTAGCCCCGTAGGTTTCAAGTCATCACAACAAACTCACCTGGCAATTTTTTATGAATGGTGAGAGCGTTGGCATCAAAGTCAAAATCGATCAAGGCAGCCCAAGCCTCATGAAGCTGTTCGTGTATATACTTCCGCAGCTCAGAACATCTATCATCTATAATCCTCATCGCGCGTGTGGTTTCGTCGGGAGCAGCAGTCGAGATACGTCGGCGTACATCTAGGTGAATTAGAATATGGTATCTCAGGGCAAGCATTGAATAGCGATTGTGGGCCGTAATCGTACCTTCCAACATCTGAAGAGCCTCAAGAAGGTTACTCTCCCCCGCCAGCTGCTCAACCTGGTCCAGTGTTGCGTCCATCCATTGTAGAACCTTCAACGAATGTGCCAAATGCTCACTGAACGCCAATTCTGCCTCCAGAAACGCAACATGATGCTCCTTATCCGACACATTCGCCAGTCGTTCCTTGTCTGCCTCTGCTTGCTTCACAATCCCACTGGCGAGTCGCCTCGAGGATTCGATATCATCCTGGATTGTCTGAGCGTGTGCGATCCATGTATCTACATCAGGAGCGCTCTCTCGACTGATCTTGCGTATCTCTGTCTACGGAGGTATCAGCACAAACATGTCCTGCTTGTTCTTGAGACAGCAGTTACCTCCAAATCTGTTTGCGCCTCTGCAAGTGCTTTCAATGCCACAGGAAAGGCAGAACTTTCTACATAAGCTGCAGACGTCGCCTCTTCTTCCGGAAATCTACCATCGACCGAGAATTGAATCAAGGTGTCCCCAAGGCGAGCTTCATCTGCGGTAGATGTCATGATGGAGGTTGACCTTGTATATCTGTCTCTTTGGTGGGGTGCGCACTACGGACTATGTTCGTAAGAAACTAAGTTCATGACAAGCAATCATAAAAAGAACAATTCGCGTATAAACAATCAGAGGAAGAGATGCACAGGGAGTCGTGGTCTCTCCTCCTACAAACATAATTCTTGGTTCTTGGTCAGGTCGCGCTTTCCCTCCGGCAGCGGGCCGGTCCTCAACTGACAGCCAGTCGCGGTCCGAGTCTGAGGCCAGCATCACCAACCAATCAGAAAGCTTCCACCCCACCAAGGCGGGGCGCGATTTTTGGATAGGGCTGGCTGTTCGATGCTCGTCAACACTCCAACATCCTTCTTTTCACTGTTTGACCTTTCTTCATTGCCCTCAAACAACTGACAACTCTTTTCAAATTCTCACTCTACACCTCCCACACTCTCACTACCAGCTGTCTGCCAATTCAAGAGACTTCTATCGATTTTTGGCCTGCCATAAAGCTGACAAGGAGCTGCTTATTCTTCGGTCCGGAGTCACGGTGCATTCTACGAGGCTGAGGGTTGCGTTGCTTTCGAATTTTAGGTAAGTTTATTGGTATGGGTCCATGATCAGCCAAGCCCAAGTACGTGTTTTCTGCTGCGTTTGAATATATTTTGTGCAACAATATTTCCATCTGTTTGCACCTCATTCGTATCTGATATCCAGTTGGGAGTTGCACTACTTTGATTAGTCCTCACCAAATGGCAATCATATCAAGTCGTGTTCTGCTACCTAGTATCCTTGCGGCAGTCGTTGCAATAATTGTTTACCAGTCTGGGGAATATAAATGGTATGACATGTTCTCTTGCGTAATATCCAAGAGCAATCAAGAATTCTTCGCCACATCGCAACTTTGTTGTTAGATTTGTCTCTCTTTGTTGCCTTTAACCTTCTCAAAACCTTCTGTGTATACATTACATTCATTACATTTCAGAAACCCGAGTTTCATGTAACATCTTGAAGCCCAAAGCTAATTAATCTCCAGGAGTATTTTTCGAGATCCCTTCCGGACTAACCTTTGGGGTAAACTTTTCAACATGCCAAGTCAGACAAGAAAAAGCCATTTTCGAACAATACAAAAGTTCAAGACGGACTACGCCCCCGTCTCTATCTCTCAATATGTTTCTGAGAGAACAGGCATGCATGTGGTGGTAGCAGACCAGAAAGGACCCAAAGTCCAAGGCTATTTTGCATTGGCTACCGAGATCTTCGATGACTCCGGATCTCCGCACACTCTAGAGCATCTTGTTTTTATGGGTTCCAAAAGCTATCAATACAAAGGATTGCTTGACAAGTTAGCATCACGTGCCTATTCCAACACAAACGCATGGACGGCAACAGATCATACAGCTTACACATTAGATACCGCAGGATGGGAAGGTTTCGCACAGATATTACCCGTATATTTAGAGCATGTCATTCTACCAACTTTGACTGATGCCGGGTGTTATACCGAGGTTCATCATATTGATGGAGAAGGTAACGATGCAGGTGTGGTTTATTCAGAGATGCAAGGCGTTCAAAATACAGGTGGAGAAATCATGGATATTAGAGCTAGACGACTGCTGTATCCGGAAAATGTTGGTTTCCGTTATGAGACTGGTGGATTGATGCCCAATCTGAGGGTGTTGACTGCGGATCGAATCCGAGAGTTTCACAAAGAAATGTATCAGCCGAAGAATTTGTGTCTGGTCCTCGTGGGTGAGGTGGACGAGGAAAACCTACTTCAAATCTTAGATGATTTCGAGGACACTATCATTAACGACATCCCACCACCAAGTGCACCATTCAAGCGGTAAGCTCGATTTCCTTCATCGACCGGAATCTGCTAATGTTTATAGACCCTGGGTCGAGTCTGCACAACCTCCTGCTATCGCAAAGACTATTGTTGAAACTATAGAGTTTCCTGAAGAGGATGAATCTATGGGAGACATTCTCATTGCAATGTTTGGTCCTGACTGTAATTCCGCTATTGAAACAGCTGCTCTTACTGTGCTGCTCACCTATCTAGCCGGCTCGTCCGTCTCTGTCCTGGAGAACATCATGGTCGAGAAAGAAGAGCTTGCAAGCGCTATCTATCAGAATTGGGACGCCAGGCCGAATTCAGTAATCTGGATCCAGCCATCCGGTGTTGCAACTGACAAGCTGGCACATGTTGAGCAGCGTCTTTTTGAGATCCTACGCGAAGTCAACTCCAAGCCTTTAGATATGAAATATATGTCGGACTGCATTGGTAGAGAAAAGCGACGAATCAAATCTCAGGCTGAAAGTTCCAGCAGTTTCTACGCCGATGGCATTATCAATGACTTTCTGTTCGGCAAGAGGGATGGCTCTACACTCAAGGACATGGGAACTCTAAGCGAATTCGATTCGTTGGAGAAATGGTCAGATGAGAAATGGAGGGAATTTATGAGAAAATGGATCACGGATGCTCCTCACATCTCTCTACTTGGCACACCATCCAAAAGCATGTCCGAAAAGATCAAGGCCGATGAAGAGGCGCGTCTTGCTGCACGACGAAAAGAGCTTGGGCCTGAAGGCCTCGCGAAGTTGGCCGAGAAGCTCAAGGATGCTATAGCGAAGAATGAAGTAGAGATTCCTAACTCGCTCTTGCAGAAATGGCCTGTTCCTGGGGTAGAATCTATTCATTTCATTGAGTCCATCACCGCAAGATCTGGACAGGCAAAGAAATTGGGAGCCCCATCCAACAGAATTCAGCAGGTAGTCGACAAGCAGGCCTCAGATGTCCCATTGTTTCTTCAGTTCGAGCACGTACCTAGCAACTTTGTTAACATCATCGTACTCCTAGGAACTTCACAGGTTGCCACAGAGCATCGGCCACTTCTACCGCTGTTTCTTGACAATTTCTTCAATACCCCAATCATGAAAGATGGAAAGAAGATCGACTTCGAGACCGTAGTTACGCAGTTGGAGCAAGACACCGTCAGCTATTCCATGAATGGTGGTGGTCGCATTGGAGATGCAGAAGGTCTCGCAATCCAATTCCAAGTTGAACCCGAGAAATATGCCGCCGCTATCGAGTGGATCCGTACAATGATGTTCGATAGTCTGTTTGACGAGACGAGACTCAAAGCTGGTATCGCGAAGATTCTTGCTGATATCCCAGAAGAGAAGCGGAGCGGAAATAGCATGATGTATGCGGTTGATTCGATGATTCATGGTGACAAGGACTCGAACATCGTGGCTCGCGGAACTCTCGTTAAAGCCGTATACATGAAAAGACTCAAGAATCTTCTGGCAAACGAACCTGCCACGGTTATTGGCTGGCTTGAAGCACTCCGAAAATCTCTCTTCACGTTTGAGAGCATGCGTACTCTGGTCATTGCCGACATCGAAAAACTCCCAAACCCAGTTCAAGCATGGAAGCCCCTCATCGCTGGTCTTGACACAACCAAAGAACTCCTCCCCCTAGTAAAAGGCAAAGACCGTCTCAGCCCCGACGGAAAGAACCCAGGTAATTACGGTGCAGTAATCGTCCCAATGCCAACAATCGACTCTTCATTCCTCATCTCCTCCGCAAAAGGACCCGACGATTACAACGACCCCCGTCTGCCCGCCCTTATGGTCGCCATCTCCTTCCTCGACTCCGTCGAAGGTCCCGTCTGGACCGCCGTCCGTGGCACCGGTCTCGCCTACGGCGCCAACTTCCGCAAAGACACCGACGCCGGCCACGTATCTTTCAGCATCTACCGCTCTCCGGACGTGCATCGTGCGTTCATCGCCGGCAAGAAGATCCTCGAATCCTACATTGACGGAACCGCGAAATTCGAAGACCATGCTCTTGAGGGCGCGGTCAGTCAGATTGTTTGTAATCTGGCGGATGAACAGGCTACGATGTCACGGGCGGGACAGTTTCATTTCGTTAATGGCGTTGTGAAGGGCGTGGATGATGAGTATGATACGAGGATGTTGAAGAGGGTCAGGGAGGTGAAGGTTGAGGAGATTAAAGGGGCGATGAGGGAGATTCTGCTGCCGCTTTTCAAAGCGGGGTCGGCGAATTTGGTTGCTACTGTTGCGCCTATTATGAAGGAGGTGAATTTACTTTTCCTTTTGTATTCCCTTCTTTTTTTATGTGTGTGTGAAAGTGTTTTTAAGTCTTTGGCTAACGACGTGTTTTAGAACATGGTCAAGGGATTCACGGAACTTGGGTTCAAGACTCAGGTCAAGCCTCTTTCGGCGTTTAAGGAGAGTTATGGTCTTGAGGGAGAGGAGGGGGAAGATGAGGGGGATGATGATGAGGAGGGGAGTGATGATGGGGGAAGTGGTAGTGATGAGGAGATGAGTGAGGAGGATTAGACGTTGAGGTTGTGAGGGATGTTGAGTGACGGTTATAAGTGATGTGGCATGATGGAAATTAGGGAATGACAACCTTGGGATGAGTGTGCGCGAATATCAGATGAAACCAAGAGCCTTCTGGAAGCACTGGTGCTGATGAGTGAGTGTTAACAAGCTCTAAACTCCCTGTGACTTGTGTCTCCTGCGGTATTCAATAAATCAAATCGCTCACACCCGGTTTTCAGTTCGCGATTGTTCTGGTATCGTCCATCTTCCAACGTTCCTCTCTAATCGCCCACAAAATCTGTGTTAGAAAGGAAATCTACCCTATGACTACTAATCTCCGCCAAAGAATGGTATATGTGGGAAATCACATCCATCAAACTTCAAAGATTCAGCGAACCGTAGCTCCACTCGTTTTATTCCTTCCTTTTTCCTCGTCCGAATCCTTCTTTGATCATCTAGTGAGAGGGGAAGTGGAGGTTAAATACTACTCGCACATAATTAAATGAGAGATATGGTCAATACCATTCACATGATACGGGGGGACCGAGAGTTTGTGTTGAGGCACGTTTCTTGGGATGTGTGAGTTGCTTAGGCTCGTAGGGCGATGGGAAGGGATGGGGGATGGTAATGGGGGCAATGGCTGTGGGACGTTGATGTTTATTTGGTTAGTGATGAAATGGGGGAGGGGATTCGTTGGTGAGGTTGGGTTTCGGTGAGAACTATCTTTGGGGGTTTTTTTTGGAATGGGGGGTGGGAATTATATGGTGCGCCTGGCGATGAGATATAGAAGTCTGGAAAAAGGGAGGGAGATTATAATAGGTTTGCTGAAATAGAGTAAACCCACAAACCCCTCTCTCAATACGCAGGTTTTCTGCTACAGCTTTCTTAATGAAGGAGAAAGAGGGGAGTGGGAGGGAGGGTATTTAAGAATGGGATTCCAGGGAGATAAGAGGGGTAGATGGTACGGGATAAGGTTTATTATGTAGAACTCAGAATACTGGGAGTGGATGAACTTCCGATAAAGGGGTTTTGCGCTTCGATGTTTTAGTGTACTGGAAAGGTCGTGTAGGTATATTGTGTATTCCTCACTTCGCTTCTATACATACTATCTACTCTAGAGTTTCGATAGGTTCTGCTTATTATCATCACTACTACTCACCATCACGACTAAACTTGACGTAGGAAAAATATGTTTGAATTGAAAGTTGAGGGTTTATGGGGATTAATTTATATAGATTATATCGACATTGGTAATTTGAACTCCCCGCCAGCTCTGTTTACTACTTCCTCTATCCTTCGTCCCGACTTGGACTTCTAGTTATTCCAGAGAGCGAGGGAGAGGGAGGTTAAATACCCGAGTAATTTCATTTGGGTATCTGCAACCACTCGCAAATGGAAGGTTTTTGACCCGGGTGCTGGGCTTTGTGGAGGATGTTGTTTGCAGTAACCTTCTTTTTTTCTTGTGACTTCTTATCGATCATTCTATAATGTTGTCTATAGTCTCTAGTAATTTACTGACTACACCGTGAAGTAGATGTAATGTGTAAAGAGACCAAAAAAAGCGAAAGGTTAAATAATGAGCCAGAATCAGAAAACAGAAGAGGGAAGTGAAGATGATGATGGGGAGGGGGACGAGTCTTTAGATAGGCTGTTTGGTAAAGCTGATGAGCTAAAAGTTGGGGTTGGAGGTCGGGAATTTACCGGTGGATTCGTGGAAGAGGAAGAGGCATAGTTGAGAAAGGTTAGACAGGGGGTGGATAGGGATGATAGTCCGGTTAAGGGGGTTTGTTTTAGGGATAGAAGTAAAATGGTAGGAAGGATTTCAGTGGTAAGTATAGTTTCGGTGATAAATGTCTTACTTGAAAGATTAAAAACGAATAAAAAAGACTTAAAAAGGCATTGTTCTCTAAAAATGAGATTTAGACGGTGGAAAAGTGGGTAGTAACAGGTTAAACTTACGGCCTATTTCTCCGATCCAGGAATACTTGGAAAGCTTTCGGATCTGTGCTTTGGAGACAGAAGGATAGAGTAGTGGGGGTTTAAGTATAGTTTCTTAGTAAAGGAGATTAATTGATAGATTTAAAACACGTTCGTTTTATAAAGTACTAATTAAAAGGTATGATTTTTACTTTTGGGATCTTGGCTTGTTCGAGTTATACTTTTTTGTTAGGGGTTTGGATGTTTGCTTTTAAATTTAACTTTCCTGTTTGCTCAGTGAAGAAGAGGAAGAAGGTAGTTAAAGCCAGTTCTTCCTCCGCGATGCATTATCAATTGTCAACGTCGCATGGTATTACCAGAATTCTGTTTGGGATAAGGTTCTTGGAAGTTGTAACTTACATCATTGGTTTTTTTTTCTCTACGGGAATCGGGATGCTAGTGTGAAAATACATTTACCCTAGCGAAATGGGGGGTTGTTAGAAAAGATTGCTTTTTAGTGAATGGGAGGGTGGAAATCGGTGGTGGGGTTGGTTTCGGTGACAACTTTCGTCACATTCTTGTCACAATTTAAAAAATAGATTATAACTCACATCCCTTTTCCCATGAGATCCACAAGACCCAAGAAATCCAACAACCTTCGCTCAACTCCCCTAGTATATCCCAAGCACACTTTAACCCCACCCGGATAAAAAGAAGTCGTCGAAATGGGAGCTAGTTGTCGGAATAGTAAGACGGGGTAGAAAGGGTATTTATGTAAGATGTTATGGGAAATCTGGGAAGGGAACGGGGAGGAATTAAATGGGTAATGCGGGCTTTTGGGAAGAAATAGGGAGGGTTAGTTGAGTTTAAATTAGAGAAAATGATAGAAGATACATTTCAAATTTTTATAGAAAATATGTAGAACACAGAAGTATACTAGAACCATTAAGCATTTAAAACTCTTTTTGGAAAATCAACAGTATACAATTTAAGAGTAAAGAAGGAGAATTTTAAATAGTCTAGTCGCGTTACATTAATGTCGTCACTCATATAACGTTACAATAAACCCGCATATTGGGCTTCGTGTAAGGATGTTTTTATATGTTTCTGTTATGTACAACTTTTTTGTACTATAGCAATAGTGAGGGATAGTATAGTAGTGGCTGTACGAAGTTATTGTGGTGAATGAAGTAAGGGTGTAGGTGGAAGAGTATAAGGGAAATCGGTAGTGTATTTTATTTTCGGCGACGAAAACTCCTGTTTTGTGAGAGTTCTTAAAGTTTACGAAATGGTCCGGGTTTGTGTCTATCTAAAAAATGTTTGAAGAGAGGTGCGAGAAGAAATGTGAGAGATTAGGGGTAGAGAATCAAACGTCTAGCTTCAATGTAGCCATTGAACTTCTAGAATTTCCACGTTGAGAGAGGGACAGAAATAGGTGAGGTGATGCTTCTGTAGCCTGATTTATGGGGACAGTGGAGGAGTAGATAAGGTGAAACGGGTTTTATTAAGCAGGATCGTAGGAGTAGATGATTAGATTCGATCGCCTTCTATCTTAAATCATTTAACGGATTATTAGATAATTTTCTATTAAATGTTAGGGGATTCGATTTTTTCCGACTTATGAAGTATTTAAAACGAGTGTCTGGAAAAGAAAAATCTTCTCCTTTATTAAAGAAGAATAACGTTTTATATAAAACGCTGAATATACTTGTGTTAGGGCGGGATATTATGGAACGTCAAGATTGCTCTAATGTGAGGAGGGAGTTCTTGGGGTAGGAATGAAGAATAGTTTTGTTGTTTAGTCAGAGCGAAATGTTGCCGATCCGGGGTTTTGTTTTAGTAAGATTCGGCGAGAGATTCGGAATCGGTAGTGAGCCTGGTTTCGGCAGCAAATCCCTTTATTAATTCAAAAACTTTACATCACTTACATTGCCTATACCGATTGTTCTACAGAATATAGAAATCAAGAAGAAATAGAATAGAATTCCGTTTTGAAAGACAAAGCCAACCCACAATCCCCTATCTATACTTGAGAGTTCTTGAAAAATAGTGTTTAATAGGTTGGAGAGAAGAAGAGATTAAGCGAAGTTGTAATCTAGAATTTACAAGAGAGTAGGAGGAGTTATAGAAGAGTGATTGAAGAGTAATTATCGGATAAGTAAGGATTATAAAGAGGCTTGATTTTTAAGATATAACTAAACTTTAGTCTTCTACTATCTTAAATAGCGACTTTACTTTATTGAAAAGCGAATTTACACTATAAAAGCATCTCTTTTACCTTACCTAATTATATAAATAATAGTTATAAATTAGATTATATATAAATAATAATAACTAGAGAGAGTTAGAGAAAATAATAGAAGATTACTCTAAAAACTTAGAGTAGCCGAGTAAGCGAAGACACGAGACTAGACGTCAGTTTAGTTATATGGACATCCGCCGTAGAATAGTCAGGTAGGCCTTGTATATTAACAAATTAAGCGCATAAACCGAGGGACTAGCATTAATTAATTAATTATCTATCACAAAAGCTACAGTGTTTAACGCTCTGCTTTTCTAGAAAGATAGTTATAAACAAGCAAGTTATCTTGCTTATCGCATTAAAAGAGTGAGAAAGCAGACAGAATTTTTAGACTTAACACACTTCCGCCCACGCACGGCGGGCATATACGGTCCGAAGAGATTCAGTAATAGATCCTCCAGGAATCCTGCGATGTTTACATGTTATAATCAGAGTACTGGAGCATTGAAAGAAAAGTGTTAATCCAACTATCGAAATCGGCAGTAATTGAATTTTCGGCAGTAAAGCTCTCTTAACTATACTGAATTCACATCAGTAAATCCAAACATATGTGGATATCTCAAAACCTAACGCAATTTAGGTAACTTCTAGTCAAGTTCCCAATTAGCGATCCTGAGAATCAACTCACTTATTTCACTCGCTTTGAAGAAATCTGCCCCGGTTCAACTATTCTAACAACATCTATCGTAAACAAGTTTATTTCACGATAAGCTATAGAGATAGGAAGAATTGTTTTATGTTATTGTTTAGTCTAAAGTAAGTCTAAGTGATATTAGTGTTTATTAGGAGAGATAGAAGGGTCTAAATATACGACTTATGAAGAGGTTGTTGCCTTTCTCCCCTAAGATAAGAGACACACTCTTCGCGTACGGCTATTCCAGCATTAGACTAGCTAATGTTTACTGTCTTAATGAGGAGTAGCTAGAAAAAGAATGACCTCTTATGCTTAATTAGGAGAAAATCAGTAGTGATGAAATTTTCGGCAGCTAGAGTAAATAGACTTCTGAGGGAACTTTTTCAAAGATTAATGTTTGAAACAGAAATCATCTCTCAAACTCTCGTGATTTCAACCGATGGCTTTCATTTCCCAGCTGTCTTTACGTACATTGATTGTTCTACGGAACCGTTCCTATTAGTCCGTATACCGACATGTTCAATTTATTTAATAAAAGGTCGTCTAAAGCGGACGCTTTCTTCTTATATTCTGAGGTTGTTGCCGGTATAAATGGTTTAATATCAAATTAGGGATTGGACGGAGCTTTACAGAAAGCGGACTTAAAGAGGAAGAATAGTTAGAACAATAGGTGAAAAAGATATTTTGTGGGGTTTCCGAACATGAAGCAGCTCTACTCTAAAAGACTTTCGGTGTATAGTTACTTTTCTGAAATAATAGGTGAGAAATCGGCGTTTAGAATTAAGTCTTTTCAGGAGGACATTCTCAATTCAAATAGTATAAATGAAGCAAATATAGAGAATAACGTAAGTTCTATATTGGGAGTAATAACATCTAGTAAGATCTCAATATTGCGGTCGAAAAACACTCAAAGGTCTATTGAAATGCTTTCGTTAGGGATAGAATATTAATCAGAAAATTAATCAAAAAAGTAGATTTTAGATCTAAGAAATGAGAAAAATTGTCTTCCTGAAAAGCTTCTATATCTCCCAAGTACAAGTGTAACACACCTCGAAATACTGGAATTTCTTAAGCATTAAAACCTTATTTATCTTGATCTATAGAAATCAGTTTACCAATCGTTTAAGGTAAAGTTCAGAACATTTAGACCCCTCAAAACAGTTGCAAATCCACATGGACGCGTCTCAGGAACGTGGCATCGGCAGCGTAATTTGTAGCGTCTATAACGGAAGCACTTATGCTGGAAAGTATCGATCTAGGCCAAAAATGCTGCCAGTATTCTTCTTGGCTATGTTAATCGGACACGCCCAAAGCGCAGAATATAGGGCAATGGAGTATTAGGACATTCGTTGGTGGCTTAGGTTTCAGCAGCGAGGACACACTTGTCTGAAATTTTCAAAGACAAACAATACAAGTAGTACGGTGATGACATCTTGGACGGCAGTTAGGTATCGCGTAGCAACTGTGATTTGTCGTTCAATAAAGAGCCAGGTACCACGAGTGCCTCCCTGAGCCCCATCTCCAGACTTTGTTGTCATAGTATCTGGAAGATGACGACTGAGGGGATGATTATATATAGTTTCTACTCAAGAGATATATGCTGAAGAAATTTAATGAAATGATGATTTGCGGACGCAGTGTGATCAAAAGCCAGCAGAGAAATCACACGGCTCCTTTTTATGTTGTAACACTGATCCGGGGATAGATGCTACTAGTCTATATTAAATTCAATAGTTAATTACATTAGTGTTTGGCTGCGAAAATAATATAAAGTGTATTAATTAAAACAATGCGATTTAATCAACTTTGCAGCAGATGTTCAGAATTTCGTGCAATTCTCTCTTACATAGCTAACACTCTTTTTGTTCCCTACCACAGAGTCCCCAAACAGTATAGGAAAACACGAACACCAACAGAGAAAATCTGGGATTTTTACTCATTCCTTAATAGTCAGTAGCTCGTCCTACGGCAAGCTGCACAGTATGTACATAAGGTGAAGCATCGAAAACATAAACCTATACAGAGAAAATTAAGATCTGAGCCATCGACCTGCCAGAAAAAAATCATAATCGAGTTGATCGAGGTCGTGATGTAGGGTATGTATGGTTTTTGATGCGGCGAAAATCGGTAGTGAGTTGGTTTTCGGCAGCAAAATCACACCACCTTTTGATAATTCCTCGAGCAACAGTTTCTCTTCGAAAAAGTATCTGTCTCTACAAAATAAGCTTTCTCACTAATTAAAAGTCACGCTCTGCGCTTCTTGATTGTCTTTGGGCGCGACGAACAATCGATACAGCCGGTCCGAGTAATTGCTGAGTTTAGGATAGTGCTAGAGTCTAGATTGTATGATGGAGTTTACGTGTATTCTGGGTTGTATAGGCTACTGGTTTCGAACTTGGTTTAAGATGTTTGTTTTCTCTTTCTTTACATGGCAACTTGATAAAGATCATGAGAACTGTGTAACTAGTGAGCTTGACACTTCATCTCTCTAGCCCTAGAGATTTGTTTATGAGGTGATCAACCACGAAAAACTAGACGATATCCAGGAAGCTTCCTACGCCAATGTCGACACCTTACTTTTTCTCGAGGCCAGTTCTAAATAAATAGAGCTCCTTATAATACTTCAGTCCTCGCTAAACAAACCTCGGAAGAGGTAAATCGTAAAACACAATACTTCTCTAGGACAGCATCTCATAGGTCACCAAGTGTTAAATCTGTTGTCTCTACCCCTACCCCTTCAACTGTTTCTAGTAATACCCCTTGACAGCAGCGTTAGCTATAATCAATCCAAGGCAATTTTCTACATGGGCCATTAAATCGAAGTTCTTGCCCTTCACGGTTCTATTTGAATAAATCGCTCTTTCATATATGCAATAGTGAAGATCCACGGTGTCACCGAAAACATATTCACCCCGATTTGCGACACAGCTTGTACAATTGAATCATACACAACATTCTCTCACCAGACCAATCTCAAGTGGGTAATATGTCGGCGATGTCGCTTTTTCGTGTAGCAAAAAAGTTGGTACACCGGTATACACACTCAAATGTAACCGCCATTGACGTAGTACTCGTGCCACAGCTTCCCAGCTGTTCTCTTTGTGGGCATCCAGTTTATATTCAACCCAGTGCTGATCAGGAATTTGGGTTGACCTATCCTCCGCCGCGCAACGTCTTATCACAAACTTTTTAATTGTTGTATAGAAGTGAAAAGAAGAATCAAAGCGCGCCGATGTTTTATTCGTTACCTTACACGATAATCTTTTCTCTAGGTTTGCATTATTTAAGAAGGGAAAAAGGGAAAAGGGCTTCATGCCTAGCATTCATGCAAAGAGATGTGGAAATGGTGAGAAACGTTTATTATATTCTTGGGTACCAACAGAATAGACCTCGCTGTCTAATACGGGAACTCGGTATCGTTTTGAGACTATAAGGTTTGAAATATATTAGTCTTGTTGAAAGTCGAATAGTATCGAAGATGAGAATACCAAGACGGATTGAGATAAAGCTGTCCATATCAGCACAATTTAAAATGGTTCTTCTCATAAGAAGAGCGGTGATAGAATAAAGGGGTAAAATGACAGTAACACTGTATGCCAAAAACGCATGTCGCGAGACGTCTCTTATAACCAAACCACAAATAATTCACAAATTCTTCCACCAGCTTACAAACCCTTCACCGTAGCTAAGCCCCTAAAATAAACAGATCGTACAAATGACTTAGCGTGACACATCAATTACAAAGATGATGCAAAGCATTACATTCATGGCACTAGACCGAGTCTTCCGATATCTCCAGTCTATATCAGAGATCTAGATCCCTTGATCTCCTTCTCCACCTTCCTACCCTCCAAATCTTTCTCCTGCGATTATCGTTTCTTTTTCTTCTTGTGTCGGATTTTAGAGTCAGGTCCAGATAAGAATGATGTGTATGGTACGACCCCGAACTTGCCAAAATGGGTTAAACACACACTACACGCACGCCAATCCAGACCAAGCACATGCAACGCTATTTCAACGACTCGCATTTCCACCGCCCTTTTTTCTTTTGTGTTTTTCTTATCAGACACCAAGTCACCTCCCACCAAACCTCTTGATACGACAAGGTAAGACCCCCCATTATTTCAACAAACATCTTACCAACACCTTCCCATGATTCAACCCTGCCAAACATTCGCAGCTTCCACGCTAGCCGTCGCCAAAGAACCTTTTACAAACGAGCGGTGAGCGCAACTTATTCCTTCCTTGGATGTATGAGGATCTGAAACTGTTATTCTGCCAGTGTTTATTACATCAAATTCGAATACTTGCTGACTTGTGGGATGTCAAATTAAGTGTTCGATGTCAAGCGCGAGGAATTACTTCGCTTTTTCACAAAAGTCACAGCACTCGGGTGGAATGATTCTAGCGCCCGCTGGATGCAGGTAGGTTCGTGGGCGATAACGTAATATGCAGGGCAGGCAGGCAGGCAGGCCGGGATGATAATCTGGCTCTTGTTAAAAGGACAGTTATGATCAATTTGAAATTAAGACAGTGGAAAGAATGGAGCTCGAAGTACAATAATACCATATTCAAAACACCTATGTCGCGAGACGCCCATTGTAACTAAAATACACATCACTTACAAATCCTTCCGCTTACAAACTCCACCGCCGTAACCGCATCCCCCAAAAGCAAACAAATCGATCACCTTAAATTAAACCCTTCATCTCTTACGAATATGTAGATCCCCATACTGATCAATCGTCGGTCTCTCCCCCGCCATACAAAGAATCCGATCCAGCGGCCGATCCGTCGGAATCCCATTCGGATGTCTCTTCTCGACTTCCACTCTATGCTTTGACTTCGGCTTGTTGTTCTTGATACGCATCTTCTCAAAGAACACATACGTAGCATAGTACACCGCGCTCGTATTTCCCTTGAGCGGGCCCTCCTTGTTAAGGAAATCATTCAGTGATTTCGTTAGGATAGACTTTTCCTCGGGATACGTCTTCGCGATGTCCCTCAAGAATGCGGTCTTGGTACGACTTGAGCTGGAGTTTGAGTGATGATGAAACTCTCATCGTCACTATCTTCTTCTTCCTCGATTTCGTCGGCTTTACGTTTCCTGTCATTTTCATCTGATGGTGTTGTAGCCTGGAGATATGAGATCAGTAGTGCCTCGAATCAATTGAAGTATTTGTCTTACGTCGTTTTGTTTTGCAAGAGCCTTCCCCGAATTTGGAGGAGGTACTACACTAATATTGGCATTAACACTCTGCTTTGCAGAGGTTCTCTAGCGGTATTCGGCATCGTATCTTGCGTATCAGATTGAAAATTGACCACAAAAACTATATTTTGGAGAAGGGTTTGTGTATTGAAATGTGAGTTCAAAGAGAAGAGTTGCACTCAGTACGCGTTGAGGTTGACGCGCTGGGGATGTGGTCAATGCGGGAAACTTCGACGTCATTATCGAACTTTAAGCATTAAGCAAAACAATCGAAATCAACTTACCTAGATAGGCAATTAACGCAAGCCGAGATATATTAGCCTTCATATCCTTTTTAGGATTGGCTCGAAATCAATAGACACGATTCCATTCGGCTTGTATTTATATGACCGAAAATGGCAACCACGCAAATAGCCATGTGGTAAAGGAACATATGCTGTATGATCCCACATGCTTGAAACGTGGCATGTATTTCACCTCGATGAGCAATCACAGTAGAGAAGGTGTTATACAGAATGAGACCGACAATCATTCGAATAAGAAATGACTAATATTGTATTCTCTAGTAACTTTTGCCATAAATCATGCCATGCTTTTCTCATCAAAACGTCGAGTCTTTTTGTTGTTCAACCGCATATAACCAGCAACGCAGCCCAAAATGACGGCCAAGAACAATCCCTTTTGCATAAGGCTAAACCCTTCGGTGGAAACATCATCGGTGATTGGGGAATTGACAACGGGAATGACTGCGGTAGCAGCAGGAATGCCAGAAGACGTAGCCGACGTTGGTGTATCAACAACTTCTCCCTGGCCAGCCTGAAATTCGGCTTTACCGTATTCTTCATCTGTACAAGGACAGACGAATCAGTGAGTCCACCAAATGATAGCGTATTGCATTGGGTACTGCTTTATAGCTCGACATGGATACCTTCTGGTGGAACCTCAAGCTCTCCACTCTTGATAATCTTGACTGCCTGTGTTGGCCTATCTCCAGGTTGTTTTGGAACCTGCTCAATCTTCTGAACGATCTCGTAGCCCTCGAGGACCTCACCAAAGACAACGTGTTTGCCATTGAGATGACTATACACGTGTTAGAAATAGCGTTTAGTTTGGAATGTGAAAAACATACCCTGGTGTAGAAGTGGTGATGAAGAATTGGGAGCCATTGGTATCTTGTCCTGCGTTGGCCATGCTGAGAAGTCCAACCTTGGAGTGCTTGAGCTTGAAGTTCTCATCTGGGAATTTGTCGCCGTAGACTGCGGGGCATTAATGATTGCGCTTCATGCGGAGGTCTAGACATACTGGACTTTCCACCAGTACCATCTCCCTTGGTAAAGTCACCACCCTGAATCATGAAGTTCTGGATAACACGGTGGAAGTTGGACCCTTCATATCCGAATCCCTTCTCCCCAGTTGCCAATGCGCGGAAGTTCTCAACAGTCTTTGGGACTGTTTTGCCGTAAAGACCCATCACAATCCTTCCCATGGGTTCGTCGCCATGCTGGATGTCGAAGTAGACCTTGTGCGTTATCTTTGGTCCCTTGGTAGCTTCGGCGGTTTGGGCGAAGAACAAAAAGGTGACAGTAAGTATCAGCAGAGCTGACACTACCAATCTCTGTAGAGTAAACATCTTGTATGATCAATTGAGAAATCTCGAGAAGTTGTTTGTCTGGAAAGGTTTCGTGGCTCCTTTGAGTATAAAAGGGCGGGGAGCGTACACGGACAGCTTGGACCAATGTTTCGGAGAGGTGTCGATTCCACTAGCGCGGATGATCACGTGTAAGCTCACTGCCGGCCCGTGCACCTGGTGAACTTCAATGGCGTCGATTTTCTGTGGCCGACGACGAGAACCTCAATTCGCATTCGTCGCGCAACCACTATCTTTGAGAATTAGCGCTCGCCACAATGGTATGTGATACTCAGTCTTGCCCGTTTGGTCTCTCGAAGGCGTCAGCTAACCCAGCCAGGTCTTCATCTTGGGGATTAACTTCCCCGAAAACCGCCTCATTAAGGTACTGTCAAGCTTCCGACGCAGTCATCTTTATGCCCGGCAACTAATAGCGATTGCAGAAATCCCTCGAAACTTTCTTTGGTCTTGGAAATCAACACTCGACTCGAATCCTCGCGAAATACTCCATATTCCACACCGCGAAAGTCGGATCAATACCTAGCAAGACAATTGCAGCTTTGACAGCGGAACTATCGACGATGAAGATCGAGACTGATTTGAAGCGAAAGATCAAGGATGATATCTTACGGTTGAGGGATATGGGTAGCTATAGGGGACGGCGGCATGCCATGAGCTTGCCAGTGAGGGGACAGAATACTAGAAGTCAGGTATGGATGCGCGAAGTTGTTTGGAAGATTGAAGCTAACATGCTGGTAGATCTCGACTGCAAGGAAACTCAACAAAACCGATCGAAGGTTATAGAACGTTTGAAGCGTAGAATTATGTACATTTATAAGGGCGCAATTGCATCATCGGCGTTGAGGGGCATTTCAAGCATTGTAGGACTAGATGCCACAAGTATATCAAGACACTTTTCAACAGTAGACTTCTAATTTCTAGCTGCTCATTCGAAGTGTTGTGTGAAACTAACCGTTTATCGCGAACGATTGCCAAGGACAGCATTGGGTTCTACTTGTAGCAGCCTACCTGGTTTCTAATACTCGCCATTTAAGCCAGAAAGAAGTCTATTCCATACTTACGCCGCACCATTAACACACTCTGTCACTTACAATTTTTTGAATCCTTTGCAGTAGGCTTTCGCCCAAACCAAAGCTGTCTGATAGTAAAAAGCTAACTGAAATGTAAATTTCTTGTTGTGTATTGGGCTTTTTAAAGCCCTATCCCACCAGTTGCTTAAAATACGGCATATAATTTGGTTACGCCTCCCAGGGAATCTTCAACTCAAACCGGGCGGCACAATGTTGGCAGCCATGTATTATTCATTCAAAGGGGGATATGTCCAAAAGGCTTCACTAGGCGTAGGTCGCGATCCATTACCTTCATCATAAATTGATCTGGGATGACACAAAGCTTTGGATTCGAAGGAAATCTCATTGAGGTATCTCATACTAACTCATATTGCAGCAGCTGGTCAGCAACCCGAAAGAAATTCTTGTTCGCCCGCTCAAAGCTCTCATGCATTTGCTATCTGGCTACCTACCTACCTAAGGTAGGTACTCAATAATATGTATGTAGACCGGAGGGTTTCGGCGTATCTTTATTCCGTCAGGATCACAGGAAACTAGGCCCCCCCAATGACCCCAACTTGAGACTCCAAACAATGGGAAGCACGCTATCGCAACCAACTGGACATAGTTGCGACATGTTTTGTCGATTCTGAACTCAAGAGTTTTTCCATGTCACTTGTTTGTTCGCCAAGTGCTGCTGCTTTTACTCTCACTGAAGCCGATCTTCTCAATCTTGTAACGGAGAAGAGAAACAAGAAGCTCCTTGAACGGCATATCGATATCCAGATCGACTGCGAATTGACATTGAATGCCGCTGGTAACACTCAAGTGCATCTCAAAGCAACAAAATGGAGCGGTTCAAATGACCTCTGCGGCAGTTGCCCCTGTTGCATTCTGATTGTTGATGGCTTGCAACGCGAATTACGGAATAGTGGTGTTTATAACCACTTCGAATCCATTATCGGACCCGTGAAGGGTGGAAGTCAGAAAACTTTATGCTTCAAATATAAACTGAGAAAGCTTGAGTACCACAGAGACCCTTCCGCATGGCAGATCGACGGAGTAACTGAGACCACCTGGGATCTTCACCTTGCGCTCCTACGAGGTACTCTTTTTCTTGCTCCAAGAAGTGCTGGCGTGGAGATCGGACAAAAGCCCATTGGTATCAATGTTGCTTTTGAGCTATTTGGAGTTGAGAATGATGAGCTTGCTAGGGTTTTGAAACTGCATCGACGTCCACTCGCCTCCACGACACTCTCGAATTCTAACGTAGCCAAGATACAGACTTGGATCGCAGACTGCGAAACTGCTCACAACAATTGCTTTTCACCGAATACTAATGTTTTTTTACCTACACGACTACTCGAATTGGACAATCCACATTGCGGAGATGGCGTGAAGCTGATTTTATCTGCTGACATTGTCAAGACTGGTGCAGTGGAAGCAGCGCACAGTCGGTACATGGCATTGAGCTACTGTTGGGGCCCTCCCGAGGGGTGGTTGACCACCAATCTCGAAACATTGTCGACAAGACTTTCACTTATTGCTCTCGATTCAATGCCCCTAGCATTTCGAGATGCAATCAGACTGGCACGAATCCTGGATATTCGCTACCTGTGGATAGACAGTCTTTGCATCATTCAGGATGATAAAGAAGATTGGGAGATAGAGTCAAGTAAGATGGCGGAGATATTCAGCAATGCATATCTTACTGTGGTGGCATCGTATGGCGCTACTTGCAACGAAAGCTTTTTACGGAGAGCCCATATGCCAAAAAGCTGCACGGTGCCTGTCAAGCTTTCCAACGGAATAAATGGGAAATTTGGTCTCAGATATCGTCGACACGGGCTTACGGACAAAATGGCTGAGTTTCACAATGGAAAGTGGGTTTCCAGAGGCTGGACATTCCAAGAGGAAAGGTTGGCAAAGCGTGTACTTATGTTTGGAGAGAACAAATTCTTTTTCGACTGCAAAACATCAGAAAAGTCTGAAGACACTGATCGCTCTAGGAAGCGACCGGATTGGGTTACCACCGTGCAGGACAAATCCACCGACGATCGATATCGGGTACCTCGTCCTGTCGATACTAACAGCCAAGTCTTCAAAGGGCAAACATATTTTGATCACTGGCAAACACTTTGCAGTCATTATTCCCACCGCGAATTAAGTTTTGCTTCAGATAAGCTACCAGCAATCTCAGGAATAGCCAAGCAAACCGCCAAAAGAGTGAACTCCGAGTACCTCGCTGGCCTATGGCGGATGCATTTAATGCACGATTTGTTCTGGAATACAAAATGCCTCGCAACACGACCTGATGTCTACCGTGCGCCATCTTGGTCATGGGCATCAGTTGAGGGCCACATCGCATGGCCGACATGGCGATGGTGTGGCCCAGAACACTGTGAGCAATTCATGCAAATTCTTGAAGCCAAAACTGTGGTGGACGGAGCGGATCCATATGGCGCTGTCAAAGATGGGTATCTCAAGATAGTTGGTAAGACTGTGGAAATTGATCGTCCAACAGCCGCTGATATGATGCCCTCGTCGAGAGAGCAGACATGGCATGCATTGTATAGAGGGCAGTCATTTACGAATGCGCGACTCGATACGGCGATACCTGATGGAGAAGGCGGTGATAAGCTCTACGCATTGTTAGCAGCAAAGTGCAAGATGAAGAAGGCGCAAAACCCTGTACCAAGGGGTCTGCTGCTGGAAAAAGCGGACACCATTCGACAAGATGGTCTGCCAGTGTTCCGGCGCGTAGGCGTGTTCCGCGTCAACGACGGAGAAGGAAACTCACCCGGAGCATGGCAATATTCCGAAAACCAGACTCTGGTCATCATCTGAACATGGAAACACCTCTGTCTACACGAGAAGTCACAATCAATCATCTATGAATGCCAAACGCGCTTGTATTGACTAAATGTTTACCTGCGCATCGCCTCGCAGAGGACAAAATAAACGGCGCTCGAATCTCGATAATTCCTCGAAACAATTGACGGAATATCATAAATTTAGTCATCTCACATGGCACATTATCACATATGTTGTCAATTATTTTGAGTGAACAACATATTTTGAGTTCTATTTGAAATTGCCTTACACTCCAAAGGCCCTGCTGTTCAAGCACCACAAAACACGAATCAGTGATCTCGACTGTTGATCATCTCCATGAACGTCTTATCCTCCATCCACCTCGACTTTGGATGATTTATTCTAAAGACCGCTCTGTGCACCCTATCCTTGCATTTCGCCAACTCCGAATCCCGCCATTGAAGCCATTCCTTCTTCATTTCCTTGCAAGCTCTGTCTTTGTAGATTTGGGCAATGTGTGGATGGTAGTGTTCGAGAAGGGCGAGCGAGGCGATATATGGCATCTTTATATGGGCGTCTCTTCGGAAGATGTGGTAGGCTGTGGTTGTTAGTTCAGGAACTGAAGGTTCTCAGGGGTGGAAGTCTCGCTTACCGCGAAGTCTGATTTGTGGAGGAAGTACGTCTTCTTTGATTTCGCCTTCGTAGGTTGCGTTGCTGTCGAAGGGGGAGAGGCGGGTTGGCTGTGTTTTGGCTTGGTTGCGGCATCGTTCAACAACCACTCGTTTCTTGTGCTCATACTTCCCAGCGAAGTTAATCAGAGGAGTGTAACCATGCGAGAATTGAGGTTGTGGGGGTGTGATTCTTGGGCGAGCAGTCGACATTGTGGCGGTTGTGTCAAGAAACTGGCGAAGTCGAAGAAGTTGGTTTTGGTTGTTTGGTGATTGGAGGTTTGGTGTTTTGATGTTCGATTGTCATTTGATCGATGAGGAGAAGAAGATTTTCCTGGGAGACAAGAGGCTTTATATTCTGATGGCGTGTGATGGGGATTGCTTATCACCCGCTTTTAGTTCCATCACTATGAGATCAATTATAGCGTCATATATCGTCTTAACACCACACCAACGCCTAGCCGGAATTTCGCGAGCCATACAACGAGCAGACTATAACACACTATCACCGACGAAGGTGCTCGAAACATATCATTTTTTTTCATCTAATCCACTTGGGTTGTGATGTAGAGGAGTGTAAAGGAAAGATTATAGTCTCCACATTCATGTGACTTATCAGCAAAATCTCAACCTAAGTTCAAAAATCAGGTGTAGAGAGACGTTGCTGTCAATTATTGGAGAGTTTCCACGCAAGTAGAGAAATGAACGAGTCTAGACCATTTATTCTCTAGCTGAGGCAGAGTTGCGGTTTACCTCTTACTCGACGGGTATCTCCTGACGGGCAGACTTCTAGCGGGAGAACCCTGAACTGAAGCCGGATACTGGATATCATATCGCCATTTGTAAATCTTGCTGTCGTGGTATGAATAGTTGAGATGTGTTGTTATGGATGGTCATCTGAAGAGGCGTGGATGAAATAGAATTTATCTGATCACATTCATGTCTCCAATTTCTCACGATTGTTGCCGTGCGAGAAGCAAATAACTGTTCCGTGGGTCGCTCTACCGGGGCTGTGTTTGGGGCGTCCTAACAGCTACGCTATTGCGTTCTTTATCGTCAATTAGTAAATAATCTGAGCCGTTGAGTGCCCTCAGACGTTTGCTAGCGACGAAATGTTGGATGATCTTTTACGTGCATGGTTTGAAACAGAATATTGGTGATGTCAGTGAAAGAGCCTGGGAGGTTGCGAAAAGTTTCACGCTGAAATTTGGGAGGTGTTCGATCGTGACTGCCTCACTTGTTACAAGTGTTGGCGAGACACCATGGTTTTGGGACTTGGCTGACTTCGTTACGACACAGCATGGACACAATTTCCAATTATCTTGCATTGAGCGATACTTTCCTCTTCAATTTCCCTTCTGGTGTACTTCGGACACCATTTGTGCCAAAGCATACGATCTCGATCATGATCATTTCTGGCACAACTAAACACCCAAACCAACTATCACCACCCTGCTCTCCTTCTCACCTCGCCTCACCTCACCAATTCGCAACCCACAAGCCCGATTGCATCAACCCCAGAAACATCGGCCTAGAAAACCGCCCCCTCCTCCCGTCAGACGGCCAGCTTATTCATCGAAAGACCTCCAACCCCCAACGATTCCTTCCGGCAGTTAATCTGCCCCCAATCCGAATGCGAATCGCGCCCAGCCTCGTAGCAGGCTATCATACGGGTGCAAAACATTCGGAGTTGGAGGGGGTTTAGGAAAGTTTGGGGAGTTGGAGTGATTAGGGGGTTGAGTTGATAGTTTGGCTGCCTTTGGCGTTGGGAAATAATGTGCTGTGTGGGTTCTGGGCGTTGGGCTGAGGTTGAAATTGAATGAATTGTTTGTCCAGAGACTCTGGCAATTCTTGGTCTGCCGCTGACGGTATAATAAAAATTGCGAAAATTGAATAGCGGGTTGATTTTGCCAATACCCTCAAATTTTGGACTATCAGAATGCCATCACCGCTCACCACGTACCGTTCCAGCTGTCTACAACATATATCCCAAACGACTGACACTCATATCAACTGCACCTATCGATTCTTACTACTATTCTAGTTCAGGCGACATTGTAGGTGTGTAAAAGAAGTAGGCCGGACGATGGATAAGGCTTGAATTTAGAAACTGTTTCTGGCAAACATTCAAAAGACTCGATCACTCGGCCGAGAAGGCAGCAGTCACAGGTTTCACCAAGTACTCTAGGCAATCAAGACAGAACTCCATGTAATATTGTGAGGAAGTGGCAATTTATCTCTTTTTGGTTTATGACTTGGGGGGTCTTAGAAATGTCTTTCAAGTGGCCACGATGAACTTGTTTTCTGTCTCCCCACCGCTTGGGACAACCTGACGATATGGTACTGCTATTTTGCAAAGCGAAGCGCCTTACTTGCTATCAAACATCGACGTCTAGTTGACTGCCTATAGAACTTTCAAGAATCCCTCCATTCGTTATTAGATCTGCGCCAAAGAACATGACTAACATTTAGCTTCATCCGTTCTGACGACATGCACACTACATATTCTTTCCTTCTCTTGAAGATCCATATTTTCGGTTGAAATTTCAGATTCGATGCGCTTCTCTGAACCCTTTTATGTAATGTTACATTCCATAGTGTTCGATGGACTTTTTTCACTAGGAGAAAACCCCCGAGACCTTGAATTGCAGCTAAAGTAGTAGCTCAATATCTAGGCGCGGGGCGAGGATGAGACTAGGAAATAAGGATTCGTAGGGCTGAGGCCGGTGATGGTCTAGACCGTGGATGTCAACACTACTTGATTGAGCAAAAGTTTTGGTCAAACAGAGAGGGAAAGAAGTTCCTCATCTATTTGATTGAAGCATAAGCTGGACAGCGCAAGTTCAAAGATGGGGATGATGAATCCAATTTGCTGCGAACTAAGTTGATACAATCAAAATTGATCAAAATGACGACTTGGTGCTAAAGTCAGATCGAAATATGTCAAGAGCAGATGATTGCCAGAAACGAAAGGACCGCAATAATCCACAGTCACCTTGCATCAAACGGAAGTTAATAACATTGAAGCATACGTGAAAGTCACGGCTAATTCTCATTCTGACTGGCTCATCAATTAATCAAGGGAGTGTTCAAAATGAATTGGCGACTTGCAAGGGTTTGGAAAGGATTATAATATACCACGCTGTAAACCAATGCTCAATAAAAAAACGTCTCGTGTCCAACAGAACAGCTCTGCTGTGACTACTCAAAAAGAAACTTAAACTTTTGTTTCTCGAAATAGAATTCTTAGGCATGTATTCTGTGCATGTGCATATTGTACAACAACTTTTGTCCAACTTCGGGTTGTAAACAAATGTCACAATATGCTGCGCAACTCCAAGATCTACCGTGGCAATGTGCACTGCCAACGCACAGAAAGGTCGTACGAACTGTTTCTCTTTGTATTCCGCAAGATCAGGTAACACCAAAGGCTGAGGGATGTCTAAATCAAGATGGTTTAGCGCGGGCCCTCCGGTGAGGTCAAGTTGGAGTGACACGCTCACCCACTTGTCGGGCACAGCTACATAAGGTTGATGGCTGAAGGATCTGGTCATCACTGTGGTACTCGGAACAAAGTAACCTGCACATTGTAGACTAATCTCTCCAATGAATTACTATCATCTAATTCGCTGTATCTGGATTTGAATTGCCACTTGTCTCTATCAATTGACTAGCACTCCGTCGCTCGAAGTTTTAGGCAAACGCAAAACAGTCGGCGAGCAAAAGAGCATCGCCCTCTAGATCGACACGCCTCGTACGTTTGGAAAAGGTCGACCGGTAACACGAAAGCCAGAATAACGAGGAATCAACAGCTCTGCATCAGAAGACCATGATCTTCGCAAGGAGGTTATCGTTATCTCGGAGTCGCCCAAGGCAGACGAGTTAGGCGCGTGGCTGAAGAGTAAATCATCGCAGGTGAGTTTTAGGTTTGATGGGCCAAGACAGTGGCAGACTCGGTCAATGCGTGAATCAGTCCACTTCTGTCTACGTTTGTTTGGAGTGTTGCTTAGTTAATTGCACACGCAATTAAAATAGAAGATCTTTTAGCCTTTCAAATATTTTTCTATACTAAGATTTCAATATTCTGTTAGAAGCGTTTCTTATTTGAAGGTCTTGTTGAAATGACTCTGGTAAAGATGTGGTCTTCATGGTAGGGTCGTCGCAAATTCCACGTGGGTTTCAGCGTAGTGGCGGCACTGCCCCGGGCGTCGTTATTAAGCTTCTTCAACCCCGACCAGCATTCTCGTCCAGCAAATCACGAACCCCAAGTACACCTGAAACATCTCAACTGATGGGAAGGATCATCTGAGTTGTGACCAGATGCTTTTTCCAGGGGTTTTCATAGCCAAAGAGGGCCACGATGCCTGGACGACTTTGTCGCTGTGCCCTATGAGTACAGCACAGGTTGGTCGGAGTGTGGGGTCATGTACCTTCGTACCTTTGGCACCACATCTTAATCCCATGGCGAGGTCGAGAATCCAATCAGCTTTTCTCTTCATCCTCTCTTTGGCGGCGCAGCCCAGGTATACGGTCGGCATGAGATCCGAAATGTGATCCATGAGATACGGAGTACAATATGCAACGCACGAGAATCCTACCGGAGAGATTCTCTCACTGCGATTCGACCTGATCTCGAAAGGCGAGCCAGGAGGCCAGAAGAGGCGAACATAATTCGGTAAGCTTTCCAGCGCTATAGGTTGGTCAATCCCCTCACCTAGAAATTTTGTCTTCTCTTAATGATTCTTCTTTTACTTGATGTTGTTACTGTTCTAGTAGTTTCTTTGTTCATCTAGTCGAAAATATTGTCGCTATTTCAACATGTCTCTCGTGACAGCCACCTCTGGCTTTCCTTCAGCGACGACCACACTTGGTGCCTCTGTCGCTATAATTACACCTAGACTTACAACGACGTTTACACCAACAGCTGCAATATGTACCGGGAACCATTTAACGATGTTGGCGAACAGGGAGTTCGAAATTTGGATGAATATGCCTGTCCCAGTTCCGGGCACGACAATGACGGATTGTTATCCAGATCAATTTATGCAGAGCTTTTTGAGTGCAGCAGGAGGAATTACACAACCAGCTTTCGACCCCTTAGTTTGTCCACAGAGCTATAGTGCCGTCGGACCGTACACTTCCAATTATATAGCTTGTTGTCCCAGGTACGTGGAAGTATGTAACAGTACTCTCTCGACAATACTGATATAATTGTAGTGGCTATTCTTTCGCTCAACCAAAAACAACGCCATTTTCAGACAGGCCGGCATATGGTGGGACATGCTATACTAACATTGAGATGGCAACTCCTGTGTTGGTGACTGCATATGGGTCGTCCGGCATAACGGCAACAACTACATATTCCGCAACAAATACTTTAGCTCAAGCATATGCTTATCCATATGAAGGAAAGGCTTTTGGGGTTGCTCAAGTTGCAAGCATCACTCCAGCACCTTCTGCTGGCAGTCCCACGTCCATTTTAAGCGATGCATCAACAGCGAACATGGCATCTGGAACATCTGGGAAGACATTTACAGTGAGTTTCAAGCTTTGAATCTCACAGCAACTGAAAACTAAGTTTTACAGGTCATCGCTGCTGCAGGACCAACATTTATTCCAAGTGTCATGAATGCGAAAGTCGGGGACCAAATTGTCTTCGAATTCTCCTCTGGAAATCATTCGCTTACCCAGTCCACATTCAACTCACCTTGTAGTCCACTTATCAACGGGTTTGATTCTGGATATATGGGAAGCAATGCGGGTGAGAGCAAAATTATGGTCAATGTTTCCACAGCTCAATGTAAGTAAGCGTCAGTCTAACGATTACGTTGGATACTAATGGCCTCTAGTTTTCTTTTCAAAACAAAGCTCGGATTGCAGTGAGGGCATGGTATTTTCGCTAAACCCAACAAACGCCGAACCAGCAGCTGCTTTCCAGGCCAAAGCGATAGCTCAACCATCACCTTTAGTTTCGTCCGGTATGTCAGCTGCCGTAAAGGCAGGGATCGCGCTTGGCTGTATTTGCGGGTTCGGGATTCTACTTCTGATTGCTCTCTTCTTTTTGCGCAAACGCAGACAAGTAATGGCGGATTCTGAGAATGCGAAAGATGGAAGCGAATCTTCAGAGTCATTCCATGCTCCCTCACCTACAACGCTCGGATCTGCGCATACCAGAAATTATCCAAACAATTTAAGTCCAATTGATACGATGACCAGCCCCATAGGGCCGTCTCTTCGGCCGTTCCCTCCAGCACCACGACCACCCCCAAAAGGGGAAGAGCTACATGGCATATCATCTCCCTTAGAAATGGCAGCTTACAACCAAGCCGCTGTCGAACTCCAAGGAAGCGAAGGTGGTAAATACGCCAGCAATAGCGAAAAAGGCGACAACTATCAGCAAGCAGAAGGTGTACTGGAAAGCTATCACCGAAACACTATTCAGGAGATGCTAAGTCCGCAAAACGGATTAGACCAGAATGACTACTCTCGGAGAACGTGGAACGAGAAGAGCTTGGGCAGTTTTAGCAGCAGAACCACAGAAAGCACAGCGTATACTCTGGATACTGCATTAAGTCCTCGACACGAGGGCGGGGAATACGACAGGAGGAAATCATGACCGACTGGGCTCGGTGGCGTTGGGTTTGGATTCGATGTATATTATGATTGATGTTTCGATTGTACATGATTTTCTCTTGGAAGGCAGATACCCCATAGTTCTAATGCATTATTCTCGCTTGTTAGACCCCGGGATTTACAGTGAGGCCTTGAATTGAAAACGGTCAGGTGAAGGTCAGCTGAGCGGTGAAACTGTCGATCGACATTCGGCTGTCGCCAACCCGATCTTGGCTAGCTGTACTTCAATTCGTACTCAACGGTCTCCCCCTCAAGTTACACCATCCCGTCTCGATTACCCAAACCATCTACCAATATCGCGTATAATCCTAAAAGCACGATCGGAACTTCACTCCGCCACGACGGGAAGGAAGAAGCCAATATGTCGTCGCCCGCTCAGTGCGAACGGGACGAATGCAATACCCCGGATGAGGGCAAGAAGCGCGATTGCTGTGATGGTGAGAGATGATCATCATACTTCAGAAAACACTGGGCTAATTGTTACACAGAAGAGTGTCTCGATGTCTTAGCGAGAAGGAGTTGTGTTGAAGATGGGTGCGATACGCTCGGCGGGGACGAGGCGTTTCCATCTAAAGATAGTGAGTGTGCGAACGGTTCGTACATCAAGCTTTAACTTTCAAAATACCAACTATCATTTGACAGCCGCTTCAATCAGAGAAGTGGCCAGAAATCAAACCAATTCTATGGCAATCGCCACTCTTTTTTTTCTATTGTCCAAATCTTGACGCAATAAAAAGGCTGGTTACTAACAATAAACAAGATACGGACAAGCAGGGCTCGGACAGTTGCTGTGGCGGGGAGACTCATGAGAAAATCAGCGTTGAGGGCTCTGGTTGTAAGGCGAGAACAGTATCCAGTGTTTATTCAGCCTCGAGTCAGTCATAGCTTGATGGTCAGGCCAACCTTCTGAACATGAACTGATCACTCTCATAGTCAGTACAGGCGACAATTGTTGCGGCAAAGTGGCTAAATCACCTGCCCACGGGTCAATTGAGTCTAAATGCAGAGACAAGACAAGTACAAAAAGTCCTGGCATCAACAAAAATGGTCATCTTTAGACGTATCGATACTTTCTGTTGAAATGCTAATATGATTTAGAAAATCAAACCTCCAGCTCTTGCTGCGGATCATACGAATCCAATGTAGTGGAAAAATCTGCCACCGCTTTGAGTCAGACGCACATTGACGCTAGGTTGCAGCCAACATGTTCCTCCTCGGGAGTTGAAGCGAGCAGGAATGCTGCATCAAGTGTGACATGCCGTCGATCAAATGAATCTGGAGAAAAGCCGAGCTGTACAACGCCAAAGCAGCCGAGACCAAAGAAGACCTCAGCATGCAAGAAACACCTCAATGAGACTCGTCAGAAATTTGGCGAGACTTTGGAGGCTTTAGGATGTATCTGCAGAGCCCTTTTGGCGAGAAATGTTGAAAGCTGCTGCACGAGCTCGTCACGCCCATCTTCGCTACGGCCCAAATTAGCATCTTCTACATCGTCTGTCACACCTGGTCGCTCGCCTGTCAGACGTGATTCACGCGAGCAAGCGCGGCCTTCTGATGCCGCAACGCGAGTCAAAGACAGTTGCTGCTCCGCTGGCAAATGTAGCAGTACCAGTAAGGATGGCAGCAACACTAGAAGAAGGAGTTCCAACGACCGACAAGTATCGGCCGACAATGGACCTGTCACAAAGTCTGAAGGAACTCGGGGCTGTTGCAGTTCTGTTGCTACCAAGCCCATCAAGGTGCCTTTGAAGAAATCATGCTGCGAAACACAGTCCGACGATATTATCTCCTGCTGTGCAGAAGATGAGAAAAAAAGCGCTTTTAGCGAGTCTGTCGATGAGTGTTGTGATTCTGGAACTGGAAAATGTGGCTCCAAACCCATTGAGAAAGATTCTTGTTGCGGAGACGAAAAGGATAGCAAAAATAGTCATAACCTGGCAATCGTCAAATCCAAAGACATCAACATGGATATCGAAAAGTCATTCCCACAAGTCACGGAACATGTCGTTCTTTCAGTCGAGGGGATGACTTGCGTTGGATGCGAGAAAAAGTTGTTCAGATCTCTTGATCTGCTTCCTCAGATTCACAACCTCAAGACCAGCTTGGTAATGTCGCAAGCCGAATTTGAACTCAACACAGCCAGCTCCACGGTTGAGGAAATCATCAGGATCCTCGAAAGAAGTACGGAATTTGTCTATCAAAAGCTTTCTACTGCTGGCCAGTACCTGGATCTTATTCCCTCCGGGAATGTTGATCAGTTCATTACTGGCATCTCGGAGCAATATGGTGTCTTGGCCACTTCGAAGCTTAACAGCGGGATCGTACGAGTGGAATATAATCCTCGCGTTGTTGGCGCACGAGATCTAATGTCCAATTGTGACGACACAGCAATTCGTTTGGCACCTGTCCAGGCCAATTCTGCAGTGGCAGCTGGGAATCGACATGTTCGACATACTGGATGGATGACATTATTCTCAGCAATATTGACAATTCCAGTCTTGATTCTTGCTTGGGCACCACTTCCAGAGCATGCCCTCGCTTACGGTATCACTTCACTCATCCTCGCATCAGTCGTTCAGACGGTAGTTGCTGGACCATTTTATCCAAGTGCAATCAAGTCTTTGATCTTTACTCGAGTCATCGAGATGGATCTGCTCATCGTTCTGAGCACGACTACCGCTTACATATTTTCGATTGTTTCGTTCGCCTATGAAACTGCTGGAAACCCATTACCGACAGGACAATTCTTTGAAACAAGCACGCTGCTTGTTACTCTCATTATGCTAGGGCGATACATTAGTGCCCTGGCCCGACAACGTGCTGTCGAATCAATTTCAGTCCGATCATTGCAAGAGCACACGGCACTGCTCGTCAAATCGGATGGCTTCACGACTGAAAGTATTGACGCTCGTTTACTTCAATATGGTGACATATTCAAAATCATACCAGAATCACGCATCACCACAGATGGCATCGTTATAAACGGGCACAGCGAGGTTGATGAGTCCATGATCACAGGCGAATCCAAGCCCATCGAAAAATTGGGCGGATCCCAAGTAGTTGCAGGCTCTGTTAATATTTCTGGAGCACTCACGATTCAGCTCACTCGTCTTCCGGATGAAAATACGATCAGCGAGATTGCAGATTTGGTTGACAAAGCTAAGTTTTCAAAGCCAAAAGTACAAGACATGGCAGATCGCATCGCTTCTTACTTTGTGCCTGTGGTAATTGTCCTGTCAATCATCACCTTTTCTATCTGGATGGCAGTCTCAATTGCGATTCGTGGAGAAAGAGCATCAGTCGCAGCTGTCAACAGCATAACCTATGCCATTGCTGTCTTGATCGTGTCTTGTCCGTGTGCAATTGGCTTAGCGATTCCAATGGTCGTTGTCATCAGCGGTGGTGTAGGTGCAAAGCACGGTGTCATCTTCAAGTCTTCTGAGATGATTGAAGTTGCAAGAAAAGTCGACCACGTTATCTTCGACAAAACAGGCACTTTGACTGAAGGGAAGATGAGCGTCATAGAAGAAGACTACTTTGATTTTTCGAAGGAGTTGGTGACTCGACTGGCGCTTGGAATGACTGGGGATATTCAGCATCCAGTTTCCGCGGCCGTTGCGAAGCATCTGATCGATCAAGATGTCAAACCAGAACTCTTATATGACTTGAAAACTCTTCCTGGAAAGGGGATCGAAGGTACTTGGAACGGCGAGCTAATTCGTGCTGGAAACTCCCGTTGGCTTTCCCTTCAGAGTCATCCAGCGGTCCAGTCGCTTCTTTCTCAGAGCCTATCAGCTTTCTGTATCACTATGAACGACCGCCTGATCGGAATATACGGACTCCAGGATCAACTCCGATCCGACGCATTGGATGTAGTTACAGCACTCAAAGCTCGTAATATATCTGTTCATATTGTGAGCGGCGACGATCAGGGTGCCGTTCAGGCAATCGCTTCGGAACTCGATATCCCTGCTATGAACGTTCAATCAAAATCTACGCCATCCCAAAAAGCAGAGTACATCAAAAGTCTCTCTCCAGCAGTCACTCTCTTCGTAGGAGACGGTACAAACGACGCACCAGCTCTCGCATCCGCATCGGTCGGTGTGCACATCTCATCAGATACTGCAACTTCCATCGCAGAGTCCGCCGCCGATATAATCCTCGTAAGACCAGTTTTGCACGGTGTGATCATCCTCCTCAATCTGAGTAAAGCTAGTTATCAACGGATCATGTTCAATTTCGGATGGGCATTTGTCTACAATCTCTTTGCGATTTTACTTGCTGCAGGAGCGTTTGTTGGTGCGAGAATTCCTCCTGCTTATGCTGGATTGGGTGAGATTGTTAGTGTCTTGCCGGTCGTTGCTGCTGCTTGGGCTCTGAAATGGGTGAAGCTATGATCAATCGGATGGGTTCAAGGTTGGAGAAGTGAATTTCCTGGTCGGATGTTTTCTTTGAGTCGCTCGTTCACCACAAGGTAGCTTAGGCTTTTTGTCATATATTCATAAAGTTGGTCCCTAAATTCTGCACAGCAATATAGAAGCAGTTGGGTCTATACCGTTGCACGTCTCTCATCCCATGAAGTCGTGAAAATCATGTATGAACCAGTATGATCTGGGGGAATATAATCTCAGTCGCTGAAATAAATACACACTACACTACAACCGCCACTATCTTTGCCAAGTCTAGATTTCCTGTTTGTGGTTTCGCAGTCAATCTCTGTGTTAGGCAACTGTATAAATTCAACTACTTTCATTGGCGGGTTTCCGAGAGTTGGCATCCACTGGCTGTGATCAGTCCATGTCCGCGTCACCCCGCAACATCGCAACGCGTCTCTCGATGATCATATTGTGATTGATAGCATCAAGAAAATTTAATATTATAGGGAGGTTAAGGATTATAAACTTGTTGAGAAGATCAAACAGACCTCTTGTCCATCTGTGCAGGCATTTATCCACCCCCCACTTTCGAGTAACTACCACGAAGCAGCATCTCATAGCCATCAAAATGGTTCTCATGCGCCACGAGATCAAACCCGACTTCAAACATCCCATCGACCCTCTACCTTCATCTCATGAGTCGCAATCAAGTCGCGATCCCTCACCACCACCCTACACCCCGAGCGCCTCATCCTCAGGATCACGATACGCACCCTCACTAGCATCCGTCCCACCGCCTTCTCATCACCAGAGAACAGAAACAGAAGGTCCAATCCCACTTTCCACTTCGCCTCGTACAGAACTTCCTTCGATAAGCTCAAAAAAACCATTAAGCCTTGTCGGACCGCTCACAGTCCGCGGATCTATCGAATGCTCGTCTACCGTCACGTTATCAGACGATGTAGAAGTGACATCCAGCGTCCAATCTGGCGGCCCTTTGAAGTTAATCAACGGTATTAATATCCTCGGAGGAGTTGAAGGACGAGCGGACGTTGATTTGAGTGATTCCGTTACGATCGGAGGGGGTGTTGAGGCACGTGCGAATGTGAGAATCAAAGGTGGAGCTAAAGGCGTAAGAATTGGAGGGGGTTTAGATGCGCGAGCTGTTGTTGATATTGACAGTGGTAGCGGAAGCGTGGTGGTAGGTGGAGAGATTGATGGGAGGTCAAACGTGAATTTGAGAGGGAGAATTGACGTTTTGGGGGATGTGAGTGCGCGTGGTGGCGTTGTGCTTGACGGATCGGTGTTTGTTAAGGGATGTGTGGATAGTAGAGGGGGTATTGAGATTAAGAGTCGAGGCGAGTACAGATTGCAGGTTCAAGGCAAAGTAGATGCACACGGGAGTATTTCGTTAGATGGGTTGATCGACGTCGATCGGTTCGTGAGTGCAAAAGGAAATGTGAAGATTGATGGTGAGGTGAGGATTAGAGAAAGTGTCGAAGCGAGAGGAAATGCGGATGTCTATGGGAATGTGGAGACTGGGTGAGTTCATTTTCTTGCCCGCTTTTTACGCTTTCTGACAATCTTGTGATAGCGACTTCAGTACTCGTGGAAATCTAACGGTCAGAGGAAAGCTGCATGTGAGAGGTGACTTGGAAGTTAGAGGTCAAGTCAATGTGATTGGAAGCGGGGATTTGATTGTGGATGGGAGATACAAGACTAAAGGCAGATGAACGGAAAACAGCCTCTCGAATGATTAACTTTGTCCTATTAGACCCGAAACCTGGAAAGTTTTTCTCCTGCGCACGTATCTAGTAAGTAGATTTACTTCCATTCCTGTTTATGTCTTCGCTAGAAGTCCCAAAGTGTGCCAAACTAAGTAATCGCACCAAGACCCGTATACAATCTGTATCTTGAACAATAGTTATAGAAGAGTGAGTGTTTTCTGACTCCAACCTTGGTAGAATGATTTGTCACGTATCGTAATATGTAGCATTCCACATCGATAATACACTGGAGCATTCTCTAGAACTCTTTCATAGAGCAACAGGCCGTGCATATGCATAAAATCAGTCCTTCCTAGGAGGAAGCAAGTCAAGGAGAATATCCGCCCTTGGTCACTTGCTAACTTAATCTCCTTTCTGAGTTGGAACAAGCGGTCGATCGAAGCATATATGTATTGATTATAGTGTTTTTTCATTCCATCAATTTCAAAGACCACGGATTTCGGAATAGTCCCGTATGGATGATTCTCAAGCCTTGCGTTATCATGAAGCCGTACATTCACTGATCGACACGCCCCCTCGAGGACTAGCCGAGCTGAATTGAGTTGGCCCATTGTATCCAAATAGCGAGGTACTGTCTCCGACGAGATGAGTCTTTGCGATATTGAATTTGGTAAGAAGGTATCGGCGTTCTCCCACGTCTCGCTGATGGAGAAAAAGAACGGCCCTCCTAGGAACTCCTGACTACCCGAAGGTATAGAAGCCCACGTCCAAGAAGCCGGTGACAACGACAAGGCCAGGTCTTGTGACAAAGGTGAAGAAGCAGATCTTGACCTAACTCCCCGAGTCACTATTGTCGATTTCTTGGCATATCCCCAGCCGAGACCTCTGAATAAGTCACTTTTCCAAAGACCACCCAGATATTCATCTTTAGTTATTGAAGCAAACTCTCTAGCCAATCCGGACATGGCTGGAAGCGAGTCTGACTCGTAAGTCAGCTCCCGACGGCGGAATTCTCTGAGTAACGCGTACCAATCTAGATAAATGGAGGATGTAGAGTTGTTTGTGTCACCACCTTTTTGTTGTGGGTTGTTCAGGTGGAAATTACGAGAAAGTCTCCGATCGTATCTGTTGAACTGCCCGTTATAAGGGAAAGTCCTGCTTTCAGCATACTGCACAGAATTACATTCCCACAAGACCTGATCAGAGTCAAAGTAGATGACTTTCGAACTCAGTAGTTGTTCTTGTAGGACCCAGGCGCGTTTCTGCAATGGCTCATAGGGATGTCTTCCAAGCACTGATGTTTCAGGCACTGGATTTTCTTCATTATCAGTAGTCGCTTCTAACCAGATTTCTCGGCCGCCGTCTGGTTTGGTGAAAGCTAGCTTATAGCATTTGCCTTGAGAAGGTCGTGTTCTCAGGAAGCCAGCATGGCTATTTTCCGCACACGCTGCAGCGATGGTGACCTTTGCATTTTTGTAAATATCTGCCATCTGCCTCGATTCTGTCGCCCAATCAGACTCACTGTCTTGTAGAATACATAAAGAGTCAATCCACAAGTATCGTATATTTAAAAACCGCGCCACCGCAACAGCGTCTTTAAAGCTTTGTGGGAGAACTTCTACCGATATTCCGGTCTCGTGTGAGCGTTCGTTTTCGATTGTGGTGGTGAGTGGTTTTTGAGCCGGGTCTCCCCAGCAGTGACTCAGTGCCGCGTATGGGTCAGATTGTTCAATACGACGTTGATTCCTAAGTCGAATGATGCCAGGACTTTCTGGCATGATCACATCTAAGAGGCGTCGAGGGACGTAACTTTTTGAAGAACGATGGCAGTCAGGATGGCCAAGCTCACACTGTTCGAGTTGTCGTGCAACGTATTCAAGTGTTGTAGAATATGACACATTTTCCCAAAGGGGTCTCATTGTTATTCCTTCGTCCCAGTCATTTGTAAGATCTATATCCAGTTAAACAAAAATAAGATACAGATATGTTTACGACGCTAGGGGGTTATACCACTTGTCAGGAGATTGAACTTTGCCAGATCAGTGCCATCCTTGATTCCCAGGATAAGCCGTTCCCCTGTAGACCTGTCATAAGGCTTCACTCCCCAATCTCTATACTCTCTGGTAACTCGAAGGTGTCCGTTGATGTCTCTCAAATTGGTCAAGTTTCGGTTTGTGATAACACATGAATAGAGAAATTGACAGCATTCACAAGTGCTAGCTGACTTCTCGAGTTCCTTCACACTAGATTTCCACGGGATAGATATAAAGCGAGTGCCGTGCAGGTCCACTATTCCCATACGATTCTTGTGCACTTTGTCGTCGGATAATTTAGGAACCAGGCCATTCTCTGGTCGAGTAATCTCTTTACAATCTCCGCAGCATGACTGCGATTGAGACTGGCCCATAGTGAATCATGAGAGTAAGCCATTTTCCAAGAATGAGAGTAAACACCATGAGGTGCCTTCTTTTGTTGTCGCAACACACTCCCAACTTCCAACCTGGAACTTGCCTAAAACAATTGCACTGCCACAATGTGGGGTCTCAAATCTGCCTTACCACCTGAGCACCTGGGCAAACCATCACCACAAAAGTAGGTAGGTAAAGAAACAACACCGCCCTGTGAGAGTTGATATCGCTGCGTAGAAAACCAACTCCTTCGCATGAGAGCTATCTTTTGATGTCTTGTTCTCTGGTAATCTGGTCATAGCCTTAGCCAAATGCAAGTTTTTTGTCTTTGTGACGAACAATATCCTATTGATAATCAACATACAATTACGCTTGCATGAACTTGTTAAAACAAAGTGATTCTCTGAGCAAAGGAGGGGAGAGTTTCCAGGTAGCGACGACAAGGTAGCGATGCCGGGTTATAGTCACATGATGATCGGTTTGTACATGAATTCTTAACAGCACTACATCGATATTTAAAAGTTTTATAGTATGAAGACGGAAAATTACATTGTGGCATGGAAATGATTTATTCTCTAGATTTGTTGTCGCAGTTGAAGACTCGGGACGAGAAAATGGGAGTTGCAAAGTGGAGCTCTATCACAACTGGATTGTCACTTGAAATATTTCAAATTTGCATCGAGACTTTGCAATGGATACGTATAGAATCGCCTTGCACAGGCTCTTTTTTCATTGATAACGATGAAGCATTTGAAATCTTGTGACCGTAAAAAGGGTTTTGCGAAAGGCTAATCTTCACGCATCTTTGACAGTGTCATGCTGTAATATCTCATAAGCTCGATATCAACTTGTCAAGAACTGCTGGACTTATTATACTAGGGTCCGCTTTGCGAGACCACTTATTGAGTGCGAGCAATTGGCAGTAAGGAAAAAGTACTTTTGAGCAATGATTATCACAGTATTCTGATATAACCAAGCAGATATGGAATAGCCACAAGAAGTTCAAGAAGCTGATCATACTATAATTATGAATGGAAATTGGGTATTTGTGCTCAGTAATTCTACCACAATCTAAAGTCAATTCTGGGGAGCTTTTGAACCGTGCAGTTGAAAAGCGGAGCTTTGGCGTGTGTTATACTGCTGGCCACTTGTCACGAGCTAGCAATACTCAATAGCCAACTATTTTGACAATAATTCGTTTTGAACAAGGCACTTATTGGAAGTGACTGATTTTTCAGTTGCTTGCTGGATCGGTCGGGCAAAGTTGATCGCATCGCTTGGTTCCCAATCCCATCTCCACGCTGATTTGTGGCTTGCAGGGCCAACCGATATCATACCTCAATAGGCTAGTCACAAAACCTCCATTTGAAACTATTCTTTAAGTCTGCGATAGATGAGCTCTTTTTTGGTTGACCTATCACTGACTTGGAGGCAAGGTATCATTATCCTTTGTAAAAGAGAACTTGTACGTAAAAAGAGGAAATATAGCTTAATCTTTCTATGTTATGATTTTCAAAATTCTATTTAAATTACTAAGTAATAAACAGAGTTTTCATTTATTATTTATAATTTAATTTCAGTAAGCTTAACAGGCTGTAGAAGCTGCTTATAATTAGACGAGTATATAAGAGCTTTATAATATTATTAAGTTTAACTTATATTAAATATTAAGTAGTAAAGTAAAACGAACTACTTCTGTCTAATATTAGGGGAAAAAAACAAAAGCCCTTCGGTTAATAAAAACATTATAATAATACTTTCTTGATTGAATATAAATTAGATATAGCTAAAGAATAATAAGTAAGTTACTATACTAGTATTCTACTACCACGCATTTAGGTATAATTATAAAGCTACTGTTTCTAGCTTCCCTAGAACTAAATAAGTTATAGAGATGTTAAGTAAAATTTAGTTCTAGTGTACTTATTCTGTCTCTTGCCTAATTCGAAAGGCTTTTTGGGTAGTGCTTTTAAAAGCCTAAAGTCCCAAGTAATTAACAAAAAGGCTCACTTGCCGGCACAACCCTCCAGCTGTTCTCCTCACTGTGCCGTCCAAATATAAACAAATCATTGGTAACCCTTTCTGCTGTATTACCACATCGACCGCACCCCACCGCAGACGACGTCCAGTGGTAGCCAAATTCTGCTTAGGGATCGCAGTCCCCTTTCTCAATAGAGCTGGACGAGCGGTGCGTCATCAAGCCATCTGCAGTCATACTTCTGGCCAAGACATGTTCATTCAAACCGGGCGTAAATCATTGTATACTTAAGTATACTTACCCCGCGTTATTGTATCAAGGACACTGAAGTGACTTTCCAAACTTCCCATTTCTCGCTTAACTCAAGTACCCCCTTGTACAACCTCACAAGAGATACAGCTTGTCTACTTAAAACGGTACTAAGGTAACTTCAAGATGAACAATAGCTTTGGGTCCGATAGCGGCTTGCCTCAAACCATGTCATGGGTGGATCTAGACAGTGCAACCAAAGACCACAGTAGGTTCCTCTGCCAGGATTTTAGCATCGACGATGAAAAATATCCTTCTAATTAAACTACGTTCGCCCAGATGTCGATTTTTCGATTTACAACTCCCTTGATGGAAGCTTAACTACTCAGTCTTCGGAAATTAGCACCAATTTCTATGAAGATAGTGGCTACGCCGACGTCGAAGGATGCTTTTCCGACATTCTTCAGAACCAGACTGCCCCCTACGAGCGGTATTTTGAGACAGTCCCCGAGACAACTTCAGCGACTGGTACCTCCGCCACGACACAATACACTGAGCTACTCTCAATAGCAAGCCTGTAGGGTCTCACACTCTTTCTCAACCATGTCCAACAAGAAGAGACTTCGCTAACGCCACTAGTTCACAACCACCTTCAACACCTGAAGCCAGAGTTTACGCATGCGACAAACCAAACTGCCGTTATCCGCTACTAAAAGACAAAGCGGGACTTACACGGCACACTCGAGAAGTGCATGGTTCGAAAGACATTAGCAGAAGATTCAAGTGTCCACTGAAGTCTTGCACACGAAACGATAAAGGATTTGCAAGGAGATATAATCTTACGGAGCACCTTCGACGATGTCATGGCATGGACCATGATACAATTGTCACAGTAAAGAAAGGTTTGAAAAGGATTGTAGATGATCATGGGGTTGATTATGACAAGCGTTTGTCTTCGCTTGACACATCTGACGGTTCTCGCGCAGAGTTTGATACGACTCCGCAATTCACGATGTGAGCTTGTGGAAGATATCAATGCTATTGAAAGGGCTTTGGAAGTCGTGAAGAAATTTTGATCGGGCTCGAAGTATAGAGGGAAAGGCTCGTGGAAACAATAGGCTTTTCATTTAACTTCTTGGTTGACGGATTAATGCAAGTAAATAAGGTTTATCATTTTCAATCATGACTTCATATATCTCAGTTTGCAAGATTTCCAAGCCTACGCCCCTTCAGAAATCTAATTACACCCACCAAGTCTAACACTCCCAGCATACATCTCATAAGTATCCGCATTCTGCGCCGCCTTCGCAGCAGTCAATGCCTTCGCAGCAGTAGGTCCATATGCCCAATCCGTAGTACCATACAAATGGGTCATTTCATGCAAGATACTTCCAGCCTTGTCATAATCATCATCAGCGCAAGTAGTAGCATACTCTGGAAAATCCCAGTATCCGTTATTTGGGCACGGAACAATCGTGTTGGCGCTTGGTACAGTGTAGAGAAGGGCGGTCCCGTCAGTGCAGTCACTGTAGATGTCTGTGCAGGAGATCTTTGGGGAGGTGGTTTGCACGCCTTTGACTTTGTTGTAAATGTTGCGTACAGGGGTTTCTTCGGCGGTAGATTTGAACCAGGTGGTGAAGTAGTAGGCGCCGGTAGCTGCTGCGGTGTAGGAGATTGTTGCCAGGGAAATAGCGTCGGATACACTGGTCTTCAGGGAGCTGGTTTGGGATGTAGAACATGAACTGTAGGTTACAGCACGCTTTTGGATGCGCGAAGATACACCGGTGCTATCACGACCAGAATAGATGTGATCTCTGGAAATGGTGTTAGATACGCCGTGGAAACAGGATTTAATGAGCACTGACCTCTTGACTTTGCTCTGATCTGGAGTTATAGCGACAGTTGAACTTGAGCTCTCGCAAAAGGAAGTATCTTTCAATGCCGATGGAGCAGCAGTTCCGGTGACATATTTGAAACCCTGGAGTGCAGAGACTTGAGCGGTCGCAACACCGTCAAGATTGTATGTCTTTGCAGCATTGACCGAAGTTGTAATCTTCTCTCCTGGTGCAATTGTCTGAAACATATCAGAAGTAAGCCCAGTTTTCTTGTAGTTGACATAAATTCCTTCGAATGGAAGTATTTTGCCATCTAGTCACTTGTTAACCGTTTCATGCATAACGAAATCATCGCGAAGTCGACTTAGAAACTTACCTGCATCGGCAACCACAAGATCCTTGGTGGCATGCTCACTGAAAACTGTGTTTCCCTTGAACACGGTCAAAGCCTCACTGCCAGTGTTGGTAACTGTCACTTCCGTAACATGATCAGTAGCGCTGGCGATATTAACCGCGAGAGGACATGCAGCGGCAGCTACGCCGGCAAGAACAGCGACTAGGAGAAGACCGGAAACCATGATGAGCTATGAGTGTCTTTGATTGGGGCGAAAGGGGAAACAACTGTATGGATGATATTAAATGAGATATGAGGAATTCCAGGTCACTTTAAGTACTTCTTTCCTCCTCCGGCTCAAACCCTAATGCACTTACAAACCTAAGCAGACAACAAATCATTCTGATAGATGGCAAATACCCATGTGATACACCCCCCCCGCGATGTAAACTCTATTAGCGACAATATCTTCCACATCGATAAGATGATCATCTCGCCGCCCCTACCATTCAACCAAACAAATACCACCAACCCGCCAAGGCCGTCCTCTAACCGTCCAAAGAGGTCAGCGTTGCATATTGCTCCGGCAGTCAATCTTTCCTCAAAGTGGCAACTCAATCTCCAAGATGCCGGCTTTGATGCGGGGAGAAGACGATCTCTTAAGATGTTCTGCATTAGGAAGGACGGCGACAACCTTGCAAGGTACTAGCGCCGGCAGCCAGCGAGAACGAAGCTTATCAGCGCGATTGCGAATCGGAGCAGGAAGATAAAGCTTGACGAAGCTTATGAGGACTTGGAAGCGCCAAGAGATTGCTTGGTCTTTTGGTTGTTGATATAGGAAGGTGGTTGTGATGGGGTGCGTGCGGATGCTCGAGATGAGGGTGTGGAGGCGAAGTCTGGCGGAAATCCTTACCTCGGCACCTTTTTGTCGGGGGGTGCGTTGCAAACAGTGGTAAATGCTTTCGATGTATGTAAAACACATCGAATATTGTGAATGAAATCTGGAAATGGTAACCGAGTCCGAAAGCGAATTATTACTACTGCAAATCTCTTTCAATTCTTTAACCTGTTATCTGTTCGCCTATCTGTGTAGACTAGTCTATATGGAATTTCCCCACTTAGGTACATATATTCCTGTACCAGATCTACTCCAACATACTAGTATAAAAGAGTAAAACATAACTTTGTCAAGTCTAAAACAAGTTGTTTGTTCAAGCTTTAATGGACTTAACGCTATTCCATCACTGTTTGGTGAATTGTGTGCTACAAAATTGAGTACCTAGGTAATCAAAGGACACTTTCAGTTCATTAACATGTTAGAGAGTGCCTGAGGCTTTATGTCTTCCCATGCAGGCTTCGTTAGTGGTCTCTGTGCTCTTCCTTATGTTAAGTCTTTAGTTGCGAACAGCATCACTACCAAATTTCTGTAAAGATTATTTTCCAAGGTACAAGGCTACTTGACTCTACATTTATTTTCATGACCTCTTATTGCTTTACTGGGTATGCAGAAGCTACGAAAGCCCGCAAGATGCTCTCCTCACTGGCAAATCCTGATTGCCCAATGGATCGCAGGATCTCTTCTGCGCGTGCAATTGGCTTAGGCGCAAATGATACGTCTCTACCGGTGATTTCCGAGTCGGGACCCTTAACCAGCTCTGGGCGATCAGGAAATTCCTGTCGGATGGTTTGACGTAGGTCGTTCCACGTTCGATTCTTGTAGTAGGAGAAGATACGCTCGTTCTTGATGGAAGTCTTGGCCAACGCCGCCACGAGTAGACGTGCGGAATCTTGAACATCGCTAATGAATGCTGTGTGAGAGCTGGGGTCAGAAAGGGGTCTCTCCCCGCGGAACAATGATGAGATCACTTACCAAGTGAGAATGGGACGCCAGCCCATTCTCCTGCAAGGGCTCGCTTCAATTGTCCAGATGATGAAGTGTCTCCAACGTTCATGTTCTCCACGTCTAAGATTCGACCGAACTGTCCATCAGGTACAACACAATTAGCAACGAAAGGGGGGTTCTCTTTCTTGACCCAGTCCCAGAATGTGAGTTCTGCAAGAGCCCGCCCAGAACTGAAAGTAGCTACTCGTCGTGCGAAGGAATCTTCTTGTGGGCCAGAATAGACTTCTTTAATGGAATCGTAATTGTAGGAGTCTACGGTTAATTCAACTGGAGAACCAGTGTAATTGGTGGTGATGACTGCCTTGGAGCTGGATCCTAGAACGTAACGTTGGACGCCAGCGCGTGCAGCTGCCTCAAGAGTGTTGATGAGACCATTCTTCGATGTGCCCCAAACATTCTCGATGTCAGTATCCAGTATGACGGGCATTGAGGTGTAGATGGCTCCTGCGGCTCCTGTAGGGTCGTTAGCAATGTCGTTGCCGCGTTAAGCTGCCACCACTCTTCACATACCCTTGAAAGCTTCATCGAAGGCGGCGTCGGCCAGGAAATCAGGGACCTGAACAAGCTCAAACTTTCCGGGCCACTTGCTGTCAAAAAGGCGGTACATCCAGCCGTTGTGACGCTCAAGGTCCCGGACTGTGCCACGAACCCGGTACCCAGCTTGCAGGAGCTTCTCGACACTCTCCGATGCCATGTATCCATTGGCTCCCACGACCACCACCAAGGAGTCGACGGGAATGGCTCGATCATCAATCTGCATTCTAGTTTTCCGTGAAATAAAATTAACAATAGAGTAAGTAACTGGATCTGAGTATTTGATTAATGTAGGAGGAGGAATTGGGCTGCTTTTGCTTCTTTCTTTTTCCTTCGTCCGAGACTTTTGATGGCAACCTGCGGTCCAGAACAGTTTAAATACTTTGCCATATTTGGTTTCTAGCGTACACGACTGACAATGACTTTCCGTTGCTTTCTGGTAGAGGTTTTACCAATCTGACCATTACCAATTGTGAAACCCTGACACACTACTCAGCGTAACCTTACCTCTTCATGTAATTTTACCCTGTTATACATCCAGCCAAGACCACTACAGTAATCAACGGCAAGTTTCTTGTTTTAGGAAGAATTTAAAGCTCAATGACTGGACTTTTTCGCTCCACTCGGAACCCCGAACACCGAAGGGGCTTTCCGGGTACTGCTGCGGCTCCAAATATCATCGGCGGCTGCTCGGAGTCTTGTACCGCTATTGTTCATTTGACTTGTAGTTCTTTCCAATATTGTATACCAAAATTCTTTGAAAGAGGTGCCGTCGGCTATTGAAACCCTCGTGCCCCGATGTTATGAGCGCGTCATGAATTAAAGTCTCACTTTATCAACAACGGCGGAAAGGGGAAGCATATTGCTCGGACTGTATTACGAACATGAAACAACTCCTCTAAAGTCCGCCTAAGCTTGAGCTACGAAGTTACAAGAACGCAACAAATCAAAGCATCGAAACTGTGAAACTCGATTCGCTGGAATCAATGTTTTGTAGAAATTATCAGAAATGGCATCAATGTGAGACTAATCAGAACATTATTAAGTTATTAGGTTATCTTAAACACAAAGCCAAAAAGAAATCAAAAATAGGACCCACGGTTAGGTCCTTGAAAATTAGATATCCTCAATAGCGATATCCGAAGTTCTAAGTGATTCTCTACCACCAACCCGCACGAGGCTGTGATTATTGTGCCTCGCAGCTCGGAGTGAGTTCAGCTTCTTAGCAATAGTCCAAGCTGAGCTTCAAAGTGGCTGGATCTAATCAATTAGATAAAGCTTTGGCAGCTCAAATCATCACTTTGGATTTCACCTCGGAACCCGTCTCACGCATCAATAAACGATGGCAGAACTTCTGAGCAAAGTAGGTATAATTGGTGTAAGTCAAGTATTCTTCTACTATGACTGCTTCTAGCTAATGCTTGAAAGATTACTAGCCGCGTCGACGGCTACTTCGCAAAGCATCTTGTCAAAACATGCAAACTTTAGGTCACAGCCCTGAGACGTTTTCAAAGCTCGGCAAACGTGCCCGCATGAATAACAATGGCTCAGACCAACTATGATGATGCAGGGAAATCACCAGTCAATACCCTCCAGGGCGGCAGGGCCAACAGTTCTTGATCGTTACTATCGGTCAGCGCTCCTCCTGATCTTCAAAGCAAAATTATCAGAGCTGCAATCGAACCTGGCGTATTATACATTATGCTCAAGGTCTTCGGCTATGATCTCGACATACTCGATAGCGTAGACCGTGTGCCTGGCGACGCAGATACTGATTGGGAAATCACCTACGAGCCATCTGCTGATCGATGGAAGAGAGGAGTAGAGCAATTGCAGAGAGGTGACCGGGAAGGTTTCACCAAAAGCATGTTCACACGTGTATTCTATCTCAACGGGGACGGAGACTGAGACAAGTAGGGGATTAAATAATGAGGTGCTTGGTTTGCCAAAGGAGGATCTTGAAGCCGCTACTAGGAGAGCAGTGGAGATAATGGTTTAGAGTGGCTGGTATCCATTAGATGAGCACATCAAAAACTAGTGCAGCTGTTCATATTTGATGTTAGAAAGGTATGCAACACAATTTCATAACCTGTTGAATAGGTCAATTTCTCGCCAAATGACGCACTTATTTTTCCTTGTTGACCGCTACTTTTTCTGATGACTAAATGCTTTGCGATTTATCATATGCAAACATTTTACTTATACAGGATTGATTCCAACACAGCAAAGGATCTGGGATTTTAACAGACATTCTCATACAAGGGTCCAGGAACTCGGAACTCCTGGTTCCAGCACTGCAGCACCCGAGTGATCCGCAGATGAGTTGTTCTAGAAGATGAGCTTATTGACGACCAGAAACATGTCATACGAAATATTCATGGGGGATGCGAGTACAAAATTCTATCTGGAGGTAAGCTTATTACTCTTGGCATGGTCGGTTTTCCCCAATTTTGCCACAACACCGTGGTTATTTTATGCTTCCAACCCATTGATCACGCCTAGATGATATCCAATCGAGTTTGGAGTCCGTTCAATAATTGACCGCACCAGTAATGTGATCAGAACACGGGGTGTGGCCAAGCAATATAGGTCGTTGGAATAAAAAAGAGGGGAACGACTCAACCCCCACCCTACAACCGTCACCAGTTGATAGTGGCATGCCTTACTAAGCCTGCTGATAAATACTACTATTAATCCTCACTCAGGTCTTCAATTGTGTGCATTGTCAAGTCGTAACGCAGCAGATGATTTCAGTGTAGCGGTGATTCCGGAATCTAGAATCATTGGTATCCGTGTGACCTCTAGAATGCGTGCTTCTGGTGCAAGACCTACGTGCTCCCGCTGCTCTAGGCGTTTCACCAAAGGTAGAGTTACATAACGACCAAGAAAATTCACCCCATCAAACCCACGATTTGCGGATGGCTAATTCTTGTCCTCTGAATCTAGTATCTTCATTACAGAGACACTCAACACGATGTATAGAAGGCGGGAAAGGACTCATAAGACAGAAAGCATGTCATGGTTGTGCAAGCTCCAAAGTGCGATGCGATATTCAAAAGCCGACTTGTGGCAGATGTCGTGACCGCAATCTTAATTGTGAATATTTGATCGTAGACGAACGCAGAAATGACGTTTTGCAGCGATCGTCGAGAATCAAGGAGAGAGGGCAAGTTGACGAGCCGTTACCTACTCACCATCTGACTGAGAATCACCATGTGTTAAGACTCCCTCATCAACCAGGGCTTTCTGATGGATCTACATCTTCTTCAGCATCTTCTGGGGCTTATAAGGACGCACTTAGAAATGGCGAAGATATCCAAACAAGTGTATCTTCAACATTAGAAGTCATGCAAGATCAGAATTCCAACAATCATCTCTTTATCAGTACTGCAACGCACACGGATCCTGGCACAGATGAGTTCCAATCAGCATTGTCAACGGAACTGGAGCCAGTGGGATTGGACTTTTCCTTGCCAGGGACCCCACCAGACCTGCGCATCTCTGAACATCGTCGTCGGGTTCTACTGGGAATTGCAGCGCGTCAAACAAGTACACAAGCAGGTGAAACTGCTCCAACTCTCACATCGAACCATACTATGCATTTCGTCATCAGGGTTCTCAAGTCGTGGCCACGTACTATGGCCATGCACTACACAGATAATTTACCGCCAATAATTCACAAAGTACAGCTAGAAAAGGGTGTCCCTGAGCCTTTGGCATACTGCTTCACGCTAGTAAGAATGTGGGCTGGATACGCGGATGGGAGTCGAGAGTTGGTTCTGCAAACAATACTTAAGGAAGTTCGAAGACTGAATGATGAGGTAAGATTCAGGACTAAACTTGCCGCGAAGTTCCATAAGCAGATGTGCGCATAGAAAGCTCCGTCTAACTTTTATCTTTCTCACGCAGTATCCTTACTATGACGAGATGAATCTTCTTGCAGCTGTACAGTCCTTGATAATACTTCTGATAATCCTGTTCTTCGGACTTGGTCAGTCTGAAGCATTAGCTCATCCCATTGATGGTCAGCTACTTGTTGATGCATGGGAAATGAAACATACACTCGCGGCGACAGGTCTCTTCTTGGATCAAGAGCTTGACCATACTTTACCATCGTGGAAAGACTGGGCGGTAGTATCTGCTAAGCGTAGAACGATATTAGCTCTCCATCATCTTGAATGGGCATGGTCTCACTTGCACGGTTACCCGCTTCTCACATGTCTTTCGCTTGGTCCATTCCCGGCTCCTGCTGCTCGATATCTGTGGCAGGCTGGTAATGAGCAGGAGTGGCAAACTTCGTATCGCAGATGGCTTGTACAATGGGTTGGTGGCGTTTATAGGATGCTCGAGCTCTTTTATATCGATCCTGGTGTTCCCTTGAGCGTGAGGTGCGAGATGTGGTTAGGGGAGGTTGATGAATTTGGTATGATGCTTATGGCTGAAGGTGCACACTTCTCTCCTGCCTATGAAAACCTGTCTGATCGCAAGCTAATATACTCGACAAGTTAATGGCCTTGGGAACCCTCATGTTAATTGACATACATCAATATCATAGCCCGCGAATTTCCTGGAAGTTCTAGGTGTGAGCATAACCATTTTTAAAGGTAGATAGCCACATCAACTAGTATTTACGGACAACATGAAGCATATCCATGTTGAATCATCGCTGAGAGAGATATATTGCCCGGAGGGGTATTTGTAAAAAGCAATGGCTACGCCAATCAAGTCTTTACCGTCGCTACTATAATTCTTAGGCTTTGGGACGCGTTCTGGGGGCGATGTTGTGTTGTTGAAGAAGAATTCAAAAGCTGTATTTCCGTGATATTCTAAAGCCTAAGGGCTTCACCGACCCGCCTGTTGGTCCTGTAGAGAACATCACTGCGCTACTAAGTACAATGTGTTGCACTTGTTCACAGCTATCTATCAGTCCCGGTTTGAGAGATTGTGGTCCCAGCTTTCCCATCCCCAAATCTTGCCATTTCCACGATAGCCAAGACTCTCTTAGCAGCCTCCTCAGCTGAAACCGGTCCTTTGAAGTGTGGCGCATAGGCAATAGTTTTTGCTCCAACCGCTTGTAGTCTTTTCAGGTCTTCTTCATTCACTAAAGAACATTAATGTAAGATGTTTCCAAAGATAGTCCTTGAATAGAAGAAAGACTCACGGTTGCTAGCATTTTGTGCATCGGTATCAATCGATCCTGGGCAAATACCAAAAACAAGAATTCCCTCTTGTCGATAGATTGCGCTGTACTTAGCTATTGCCATGTTTACTCCCGCTTTGCTAATGGCGTAAGAAGGCGCAATATCTAGCTCAAGCCCGTTGACAAGCCAATCTCACCCATACCGCTCGTAATTGCGATGACTTTTTTGACCTGCCCTGTGCGGACTCCAGCAATGAAGGCATTGACCGTATTGATAAAGCCGACAACATTGGTAGAGAACGAGTCTATCATGTCCTTTCGTAGCACTTCTGGCCTTCCAGCACTGCATATAGGGAGTTAGCAAGAAACCAGAGTTTTGGAGGAGAGTGACAATCGGACAAATCTGAAAGATTCCGCAACGACGTTACACCCGACACGAAAGCGGCGTTTGCTATGAGATAGTCAATACCGCCTACTGTCCTCTGGATCTCTGTTGCGGCAGCCTCGAGCGCAGGTAAATCGGTAATATCCGCTGCGTAGATTTTGACATTATGGATGCCATGCTTTTTCAGCTTTTCCTCAGTAGCCACCATGTCTCGAACAATTCCCACAACTGTGTTGGCCGGATCTGAGGCGAGCTGCTTTATGAAGGCGAACTGTTGCACGTCAAGTGAGTATCTTATATTGATAGGGTAGACTGAAACATACCCCAAGGCCTTTTGAAGCTCCAGTCACTACGTAAGACGGCATTTTCGAAGAAGTAAAAGTAAAAAGTGCTCTTGGACGGCAGCTACGCGAACGCTCAAACTACTGGGCGTGGTATTATGGAGGGCTATCAAGAATGACCGTCTGTCTTTGTACGCCTCTCAAGACCCCAAGTGCTCAAGCAAAACAGTCGGGGCATTACCATTTAAAGGGAATTCTCTCACCAGTGCCTCAGTAGCAATATAAAGCTACTACCAACTTGAACACCATATTGGCCTTATCATGCTTGATGAAGGCGGAAGGCACAAAATTTGCATCAAACAATTTTCGGGATTCCGGTTCACAGTATATCACCTGTGTTGGGTACACAGATGTATAGGACCGAAGACCACTTCTTGCTTTAGCTTGTCACAAGACATCCATATCTTTTGCACAGAATTAAGAGTGTATTGTGTTGGTTTTCTGGAGTCTTGAGGTGCTCATGCCGTATCGCACCAAGGAGTCCGCACCGGGAACTCCGAGAGCATATACCACACCTCCGTAAGCCCTTGGCAAACTTTTTACGACCACGAAATTTACGGCATGAACCTGATTATCAATACCATCTTTTTCATGAACCCTTACTTTGGACAATGAACCACTCGGCCTGCTCCACTCTGCCTTGATTGATTTCTCAGCAGCAATAATAATAATGGGATTTCCTCAACGGCAATGGGATCCGAAAGATGGAAAGAACCGATTGCTTCGTAATTGAACAACTTATTTTCGTTGACAACTTCACTTGGCAAAACTTTCTATAAAATCTTATGTTCATCCAAAAAATTGATGGTTATCAAATAATAACAATCACAGAAAGTGTCCTCCCATCAAAGTCACTTGCCAAATCTTCGATACTTTCCAATCGCTAATCGGAAACTAATAGCCATCCGCTCAATCTCACCATGGGCTTTAGCAATAACGCCAAAGATCTTCTTTTTCCAGTCGGAGGGCTCATCTCATTACCGGTGCCACTGGCCATGTTGCAAGTAATATCATTACGGAAGCCCTCGCATTAGGATTTCGTGTACGAGGCACGGTACGAAGCGAGGCGAAGGTTGCAGTACTAAAAGATGTGTTCAAAAATCCCAGTTACTCGTCTATTGTGGTTGAGGACATGCATACTCCAGGAGCATTTGATGAAGCAGTTCAGGGCGTCTACGCTATTATCCTCACAGCTACCAAGCCCCCCGGCCCAGCAGATCCTAACGATATTGTGCCAGAAACATTGCAGCCGCAGTAGGGGTTCTGAATTCGGCTCTCTCAGCACCCAGTGTAAAGCGCATTGTATGGACTGGAACAATTCCCATTGCTTTCAGACCAGGCGAGACCTATAGACAGGACGGCAACACTTGGGCGGGAGATGCTGTTGCTGCTGCATGGGCACCGCCACCTTATACCCCAGAGCGTGCTTGAGTTAATTATAAGGCTGCAAAGAATGAAGCAGAGCATGCTATTTATGAATTTGTGAAGACAAAACGGCCTCATTTCACAGTCAACTCTGTTCTTTCTTGTACTATCTTTGGAAGAATTATCACCGAACCGAGCGCGACTGGTGAATGGCCCAGATCGATCTTGAATGGGGAGGTGCCGGCGTTTGGAGGCAACGGTCGTAGGTCTTTATTTATTATGCTTACTCCTACTCATCTCCTTATTCTCTCTATACCTTGCTAACCTGGATCATCTTCTTAGAATGGTATATCAACATGACCGATGTGGCCCGTCTTCATCTTGCAGCGTCAATTGACGCTACAATCGTTGGACAGCGCTTCATTGCTGCTGCTGATAAGTTCAACTGGAATGAGCTCATTGATGAGATCCAAAATTTGAAGCCGAGCGCGAAGGTTGCACCACATTTCCCTGAGCCCGTAGATAAGGATTTGGGTGAGAAAGATAACGCGCCCGGCGCAGCGTTACTGACTAAATGGTGGGACCAAAAGGGGTATACGTCTTTTGAGCAAACACTCAGGGAGAATTTGGCAGCGGATCTGTAGTTTAGTAATATTTATATCTACTTTCTATTATTAAGGAGCTAAGCTTTTTCATTACAACTTATTGACCAAAAGGATTCTATCGCATAAACAACACCCGTCCATAATGCCATGTTAATGGAGATTTTGTAGGCCCGGAACAGAGTTAATTGGTGGGTAACATTGAATTTATAAAACGAGTAACACTTGTCGGTTCGAGATGAGACTTACACAAAGCTGATAGCAAAGAGGAAAATTTGCCTTAGATTTCACACCCTAATGAAGATTAACATTTAATAATGAGGTCTGCATAATCTCACTAGTTTGTTCTATTCAAGGGTGAATATTATGTAATTATATAAAAGGCGACGAATTGTCCACAATAGGCAACCCCGCTTTCTAATTCGCTTACTGACCAAACACTGACAACGCCTCAACTTTGCATGTCAACATTAAAACCTTCCTCTATCGCTTCCTCCTCCGTTCTTCTTGTCTGTCTTCTTGCTCTATTTACCTTCTGTATAACCATTTCATAACCGCCCACAGCAACGATGCCGAAACCAAGGACTCGCAACCTTCAAAACTGCTTCAAAACCGGCAACGAAGCGCTGCACGCCTGTCTCTGCGATGATGAGCTTCAAGAGCTACAACGACTACTAAGTACCTCGTCTCCGCCGGATATCGAGTACATGGCCCATGGATTTGGTCCGCCGCTTCATTTTGCTGCTTCATTTGGAAAATCTGAAGCAGTGGAGATATTGCTAGATGCTGGTGCAGATCCTCTTCCAGTCTACTCCGATAATTTGACGGTGAGTTCGAACGCGCTCGGATTTGCTGCCCAACATGGTCATCGAGATATCGTCAAGCGCCTCTGGATGTCTCGTTGCCCAGAGTGCCATATACATGGGCTCAAACACGGTCAGATGAGTCTTGTTACTGCCGCGGAATACGGACACGTTGCTATTGTCAAAGATTTGTTAGAGTGGTGGAATGGCTGGTCACAGGATTTGAAAAATCACGCATTGTTTTTTGCCGCACGACGTTGGCATCTTGGAGTGGTGAATCTGCTGCTGAACGAGGTTGTATACGAACAATCCACCATTCAAGAGGCGCTGCATCTCGCTGCAAGCCTTAAGCACATGCTGAGTGAGGAATATATCAAGGTTAGTTACCACGGCATCGACTACATCAACCAACAACTCCTGGTCGCGTTGCTCATTGATGCCGGTGCCAACCCAAATTCACTTGTCCGGAATTCTTGTCCGCTCATATGTAGTGTTGCCTACCACTCAGATTTCATAGGCGTGGTTAAGGTCCTTCTTGAGAAGGGCGCAGATCCAAACATGGCCGACCAAGAGGGCAAATCTGTTCTACATGATTTGGCCGAGCCAGTTCAATCAGGTGATTCCACTATTCCGAACGAAACTGCCATCCACCTTTTACTACAACATGGAGGTTCTGTGTCTCAGCCAGACAGCGCGGGCGAGTGCCCGTTGCACATGGCTGCTTATGGACTCGACTTGCGTCTTTTCCGTCTGTACCTAGACTCTGGCTCAGACCCAGACCACCAGCGAAATGCTCGATTACAGTTAAAAAACAATGGCATGGAGACATTGCTTCATTTCGCCGCCGTAGGAGGACGTATTGAGGTAATCGAGTTCCTGATTACTCAAGGTTTGGATATCAACGCAATAAACTCCAACGGCTGGACCCCTTTGATGTGTGCCCTGACACCTATGGGATGTCCAACAACCAAAACATCAACCAGAGCAATGCAAGCAGCTGAGTGCCTTCTTTCTCACGGTGCAGATGCTAGTATCACGACTGATGAGGGCTGGACGCCACTACATGTTCTTGCACTTCATTGCGATCTCGACATACGTGGTAAAGCCGCGGATCTCACACGAGAATTGATAACTCGGGGTGCGGACCCAGGTACCCGTGCTCCTCTATTAAGCACGCAAGTCAAAGGACGACAATTTTTGACGCCTTTGCCATGGGGACATCGTTTGCGAGACGTGATGGCCGACCCCTCGAAAATGAAAATGATCATCCGACCTGGACTGACACCGGTATACTGGGCTGCCGAGCGCGGGGCTCTGGGTGTAATCAAAGCGTTAGTAGCACACGGTGTTGATCTCGCGTTAACAGGTAAGGGTCAAATGAGTCCGGCCAGAATGGCGGCCGAATCGGAGTACTTGAGGGAGCAAAACAATCTTGTTGATGAGATTGTAATTTTATTACTGGCGAACGGCTCGGGATTCTACTAAATTCTTTGACACACACGCGGACTTGGTGCCTTTTTGGTGGTATAAGCCTCTGATCACGTTTTAATTCCAATGAGGGTTGTCATTGATCAAGTCAGTAAGATTGATTTGATCATTTAAGGTGATCTAAAAGTGTTTCGCAAGGCATAAATCAGGTCGCTTTAGTTAAGATGATTAGAACATTAAACAGCTATAAGTATGGCACGAGGCTCTACTCAGTTCTGTGGCACAATTGAAACAATTGAAACAATTGTAATATACAGCAAATAATTTAAAGCAAAAACTTAACTCATCACCAAGCATTTCGAATGTTACGCTTCCCAGTCCCCAAGCACTGTTTCGATAAAAAGATCGATAAGATACAGTTCCTCGAACATCACCATGGATATCATGAATAATACTCTAATCGACAAGCAGTGAAAACAAGAGGCTGAAGGGCGACACCGTATAAGCTAGCTACGAGCGGGTTGTGGTCGTTAACTTAGTAATTAATTGTTAACTTATTATTTTACGCGATTCTGGACATTATAGTACTCTGCTTATCTACTCACCTAACGAAAGCGTGTACCCCCTTTGTATATTAGGAGCGTTTAGCAGCGAGGAAATAAGGTAACGTTATGAAGGCAGGCAAACAGGCGAAAGGACAGTCTTGAAGAGAGAGTAACGACCTCAAAATAGAGCAGTAGTAGCTTAGAATTAGATGCTGCTAAATTCGCAACACAGAACGCATGCAAGCAATAATCCAGACCTGACATCCAAAACCATTCCGTCACCAACTCAGAAACACACTACCACCTCCACCCCCCAA